ATCTTTGCACGATCTGGAAAATATCTTTCTCTAGGGTTAGGGTTCGGGTTAGGTTTACAAATTACATGTCAAACGTACAAATTGAAGATGTAAAAACGGTGGATTGTGGGTAAAACTATTCTGAAGGGTTAGGGTTAGAATTGTGGGTATAAACACGGAAAGATATTTTCCAGATCGTACAAAGATCTAGTATCGTTGGTGTAATTTGGTATGACTTTAAAAGTCTGGTTTTGGTTGATATGGGAGATTAGCAATGAAATGGTTTGTTGTTTCGAGCTTTACGTTAGATGCGAGAGGAGTGCTGTAGAGAGGTTAAAAGAAATAATTACAATTAAAAAAAGCCAGAACGAAATTTCAACCCGTATTATCTAAAGGAAGGAAACACAAAATGAATATAAAAGTTCTTCAACAATTGGTAGAATAATTCGAAATCTTTCGTTGGAAAATACAAAACTACAATAATTAAAATGTAAATATATTAGGAACTTTGGTGCCATCAGATTTGCGAACAATTATCTGTATGCGGTAAAGAGTTGAGAGGTCCACTTATGGGCGGATTAAAGAGGCGTTATCACTTCCAAATAAAAATAAATGTCTTTCATATTCAAAAAACAATGGCGTCACTTATCATCAAAAACGTCAGCACTGGTCTATGTAGCCGAACTTGTGTTACATGTACACAAGTCTTGATCTCATCTAGGGATCAGTAGATCCATTTTGTCACACAATACAATATGGGATTGCCCATGGAACTATAATCCTTGAGTGGCAACTACCGCCCGATGGAACTGTAGTGAAATCAAGCCAAAATTAAAGATTAGAAATTAAATACTGTGCGAGATAAAAATAAATCAAATATAAAGAAGGCAGATGATTAAGTTTTAAGGCACATGGAAGCATCTGTTGTCGTTCCAAGAGACTGTAACATGTCATTTAGTTCTGTCTCTAAAGCCCTGATTTCTGTTTCAAGTTGCGTCATCTCCTGTTTCTGCGCTGCGTATCCTTGACTCATGGCTGAAAGCATATGAAAAAAACATTGATGTGGGATTGTGAAGTCCGTCACCAGCAGCAAGGTCGTCCGTGATGGCTCTAAAATCATTTCATGTAGGTCCCCCTCTTTCTCCAGGTTTAAAATATAAATGGGCAGATAACTCCAAGCAACATGATGGAAATATCCTTAATAATATCCTTAATACCCAAACCATTCCTAGGCTATGTATGTCTCAATAGCGTCCCCCACCCCCACCCACCCCCTCCACAATGTTCCAGTAAAAAACTTGGTGCAAAGATAATGCCTTTAGAATTTGAATTTTGAAAGCGTTGATAGCCATCAATATGATTAACAAACCTAACAAATATTATCAAGAGTTCTGTATGTTCTTCTAAAACTTTCGCAAGTTAGATCTTTTAACATTGGGGGGTTGATGGCCGAATGGATAGCGCGTGCGCGCTGTATCACAAAGTCTATCATTGGGTCAACTGTCGTATGTTTCGATTCCCCGGTTGTACGTGACAAGGAGTAGGGTCGCCTGTCCATCCTCGTGGGTTTTCTCCGGGTCCACCGGTTCCACCCCACTGCTAAAGACCCCTACGCGCAAGCGAATTTATTGAAATACAATTGAAACATACGTTAGTCCCGAAATGAGCTAGTATGTGGACGTTACCCCCCCCCCCCCTCTCTCTCTCTTTCTCGCTTAACATTTAAATGGGATAATCGTGGTTCTTTCTTATCATCCATTGATTAATCTCTGCAAACTTTTAGAAGCTATGTCAAGTCCTCTTATCTATAGATTGTACATATGGAATTGTAGATGGATTGGAGGACGCAGACATAGCAATCTGATTAAAATACACATCTATATTTCGTTTCGTTTTTTTATACTTTCGATGGCCTACACTACATGAAGATCTGACAAGTTATAGCGATAGGTCACGTCAGGGGTCAAAAGACCGACTTATGACCCTATGACGTCAGACATTTGATTAACCAATCAGCATTGATGTTACTAGTGGATTACCCACAGTTCCGTGAAAAACACGTCTAAAGCTCGCCGTAACAGACCGTTTCATTGGCTTATCCCTGACAACATTCAGAACACGATTTAAATAACAACTCTTCCAGATCCAAGTGTAGTAAAGACAAGTAAAACGAAATTTTGAACTATTAAAACGAAATTTTGAAAAATAAAAACGAAACGAAATAGGATCTGTGTTTTAACCAGATTGCTATATTTAGTGTTATAACGTATTAATGTGATATATAAAAATATGGACAACACATGCCTATAAACAGTAAGATATTAGCACTATTCCATATTAAGTGCACGAATGTTTAACGCATGAATTTGATATACATTATAAACATGGACATCACATGCGTATAAATATTGAAATATTAACACTGTTCTATATTGAGCTTCATAACGTTTGAATGTGATCTATCGATATACAATATAGAAAACACATAAAATAGTAACACTATGTGTTTTCATTTAAAAGCTCACTACAAATATATATTTTCAAAAAATCAATTCTGTTCGCCCACAAGATAATGACAGTGGGAGTATTATGTAGCGGACAGCATCAATCTGGTTAAAGCACAGATCCTATTTCGTTTCGTTTTTATTTTTCAAAATTTCGTTTTACTTGTCTTTACTACACTTGGATCTGGAAGACTTGTTATTTAACTCGTGTTCTGCTTGAAATGAGGGGTCAGCCAATCAAATGGTCTGTCGAATCGAGTGTTCGACCTTTTTTGCCCGGAACTGTGGGTAATCCACTAGTAACATCAATGCTGATTGGTTAATCAAATGTCTGGCTTCATAGGTCAAAAGTTGGTCTTTTGACCCCTGACGTGACCTATCGCTATAACGTGTCAGATCTTCATGTAGTGTAGGCCATCGAAAGTATAAAAAAACGAAACGAAATATAGATCTGTATTTTAATCAGATTGTAAATATAGAATAGCGATAATATTTTAATATTTATACGTATGTGTTGTCCATATTTTTATATATCACGTTATAGTGTTAATATTTAAATATTTATACATATGTGTTATCCATATTTTTATATATATCACGTTATAGTGTTAATATTTAACTATTTATACATATGTGTTATCCATATTTTTATATATCACGTTATAATACTAAATATAGAATAGTGATAATATCTTAATATTTATACTTATGTGTTGTCCATATTTTTGTATATCACGTTATAGTACTAAATATAGTACAGTGTTAATATTTTAATATGTATACATATGTGTTGTTCATATTTTTATGCATCACTTTCATGCGTTATAACATTAAATATAGAATATTTATACTTATGTGTTGTCACATACGACGTAACACAATAAATAACACATTTTTGGCATTTGGCGGTTTTGGCAATTTGGCAAAACGAATGCACCGCTTATATGACGAGACAAGGCGTTCTTTTAAAATTACTGTTTTAAAGAGCACCTACATCTATGTATAGGTTATTCAATTTTCTGTATAAACATCAAACACTATGTTTCATTGCCCGGTATACCTTTTTGTGTACTTGATACGGTATGTGCAATATTTGTATATACATTAGTCTAACAAAGCACTATTGGACATAAAAATTATCCTTGCTTATTTTCTTTCTGATTTTAATGGTTTATATTCAATATTTGTACATACTTTAGGCTAACAAAGCACTATTGGACATACTAATTATCCTTGTTTATTTTCTTTCTGATTTTAATGTGTTATCTTTATCTTTAAAGTACAGATGTGACGTCATCCTTTGATGTTGGCGTGTCATATTTCAAATAATGGTACGGGCAATATGCCAAGCGTGCATTATTTATACTAGTTAAACTTTTGGATCCCTGTGTTGTAATTCATTGCAAAGCACGTGCGAGTGTCTTTATTTTAAGTTGTTTAATGGTCTCGAGCTTAAGACATTGTGTAATATATTGAAACAACTCGTGACGTCACTCGTGTTGTTTCAATATATTACTTAAAGATACATTATGGGAGATCAGATAAAGAGCTGGTAGTTCTCACTATACTAGTTAAAAACTAGGTAATGTAAAAGGAATTTGCTGAAAATTTCAGTCAAATTGATCCACGCTGAACCGAGTATTTAGCGATTGAATTTTGGGCCTAGCTTCGATCATCATTACTAAAGTCTGTACGATAAAAAAAAACCATAGTCTCGATTATCCAGTTTTTGGTTTAATCAGAAGCAGCAGACCGGATTCTAATCCAGTAAATATCGCAGGCTATCGATGTCATCGAGGGATGGTTATGGTCTGGATAAGTTAATTAATGTCTAATTAATAATTTAGATAAAATTTCAGGCCTAAAGAAAGACCCCAATTGGCGGATTTTGCTCTTACATAATGTACATAAATGTTTAATGTCTCGCTCTCGACCATTTAACCACACTTAACGACCATGGGCTTGTGCAATTTTGTACATATTAGACTAACAAAAAACTATTTGATATAACAATTAAATTTGTTAATACTGTCGAGTTCGTTAAGCACTAATGACAAATACAATATCTTGAATATAAAACATAGCAGAATCGATCCTAAAGAGTATAATTAACTAATGTATATTGGGACTCGATTAGATAATTTCATTTATATCAACATCTATGACAAATTTACTACGACAATGAAAAATGTTATCGTGTAAATGAAAATGTCATAATATTACATTGTGTTATTTAATTAGTCTGGTTTCATTTTATACCAAACAATGATATATATATATAATTAAACTATTTCTATTTGTGTATTTTGTATCATTAAATTATCGATTCCATCACAATAATAACTGTATCAATTATAAACATACTTCTTGTTATTTAGACTGGTTTTCATTTTAGACAAAACAATGATATATTACAAAAACAGTTCTATTGTCATATTGTCAGGAGTTTGTACGACAATAGGCAGATTTATCTCTTGCATAATGTATGTTTAATATTACGAAATAAACAAATAGATAAAATAGATAAAAATATTTATTTACAATAATATTATGTGCCTGAAAATATACAGTATCAAATAATAACAAATATATTTAAATGAATCCGTCACCATGGATATTCATAGCTGTCAAAATTAAAATCAATCTGATTAAAACACAGAATCCTACTTTATTTCATTATTATTTTGGAGGGGTGGGGTGGGGTTGGGGTGGTGCTTTACGATAGCATCGTTCATGACTGATAATCAAGTCCAGCTTGAGTAGGTATTAGTGGAGGAAAAAGAATTCGCTTTCAGGAAACTGATCGGGGTCCTGTTTCACGAAATTTTTAACTAAAGATAAAATCCAAATTTTAGTAGATACTTAAATTTTGATTGGCTAAGCACTACAATCAGTCTAATACTATCCAATCAAATTACTAAAATTTGGATTTTATCTTAGTTAAAATTTCGTGAAACAGGCCCCAGGTTCATTTCCGGTCCCATCTAAAGCGCTGGCCACTAGATCTTTGTACGATCTGGAAAATATGTTTCTCTAGGGTTAGGGTTCGGGTTAGGTTTACAAATTACATGTTAAACGTACAAATTGAAGATCTAAAAACGGTGGATTGTGGGTAAAACTATTCTGAAGGGTTAGGGTTAGAATTGTGGGTATAAACACAGAAAGATATTTTCCAGATCGTACAAAGATCTAGTATCGTGCTGCTGCTTGTTGGTATCATTTGGTTTGACTTTAAAAGTCTGGTTTTGTTTGATATGGGAGATTAGCCAATGAAATGGTTTGTTGTTTCGAGCTTTACGCTAGATGCGTGAGGTGTGCTGTGTAGATTAAACAAAGCCAGAAAGAAATTTCAACCCGTATTATCTAAAGGAAGGAAACACAAAATGAATATAAAAGTTCTTCAACAATTGGTAGAATAATTCGAAATCTTTCGTTCAAAAATACAAAACTCCAATAATTAAAATGTACATATATTAAGAACTTCGGTGCAAAAATAGAAATTAGCTTTGAAAGCGCAATCTCGGTCTGTGACGACAACAACATAATGCGCTTGACCTTGATTAGACATCCAATTACTTGTTTCGATACTTCTAAAAGGTTTCGCAAAATTTTGTGTAGCAGAAAGGTTTTGATTGGTAGGTTGATATGGAATCTACCAATAACAATCTGTACGATACAGAAGTTGGACTATAAAGAAATGACTTAAAGCAAGAAATAAGAATAAAACGGAATGAAATAGATTGGTGGGGGGGTGGGGGGAGGGCGTGCATTCCTCTAATTTGTTGTCTCATTTCCCAGCTTAAAGTCACAAAAGTTTGAAGGCGAGTAATCTCTTGGTTTAAGGTGGAACTAAATAAATTCTGTATTTTATATGACTTTTTTAATATCAGATGCATTAAATATAAACAAACAAGAAATATTGGACAACTCTTTTAGGGAATAGGCCTACCCACAACAAGGCATCTCTGGAGTTTAATATCGTCTCCAGCGACTCTTATGTGTTTCCGCCTTCAGATTTGCGAACAATTATCGGTATGGTAAAGAGTTGAGAGGGTCACTTATGGGCGGATTAAAGAGGAGTTATCACTCCCAAATAAAAATAAACGTCTTTCATTGTATCTAACACTAAATTCAAAATAACAATGACGTCACTTATCATCATAAACGTCAGCACAAGTCTTGATCTCAGCCATGGATCAGTAGATCTATTTCTTCACACAATACAATCTGAGGTTGCCCGATGGAACTGTAGTGAAATCAAGCCAAAATTAAAAATTAGAAAATAATTACTGTGCGAGATAAAAGTAAACCAAATATAAAGAAGGCAGATGATTAAGTTTTAAGGCACATGGAAGCATCTGTTGTCGTTCCAAGAGACTGTAACATGTCATTTAGTTCTGTCTCTAAAGCCCTGATTTCTGTTTCAAGTTGCGTCATCTCTTGTTTCTGCGCAGCGTATTCCTGACTCATGGCTGAAAGTATATGAAAAAAAAACATTGATGTGGGATTGTCAGGTTCGCCACCAGCAGCAAGGTCGTCCGTGATGGCTCTAAAATCATTTCACGTAGGTCCCCCTCTTTCTCCAGATTTAAAATATAAACGGGCAGATAACTCCAAGCATCATGATCAAAATATTCTTAATACTATCCTTAATACCCAAACCATTCCTAGGCTATGTATGTCTCAATAGCGCCCCTCCCCCACCCGCCTTCCTCTACAATGTTCCAGTAAAAATGTTGATGGAAAGATAACTCCGCGAAATGCCTTTAGGATTTGAATTTTGAAAGCGTTGATAGCGATCACTCTAATGAACATACCTACCAAATATTATCAAGAATTCTGTAGGTTGTTCTAAAACTTTCGCAAATTAGATCTTTTAACATTTGGGGGTTGGATGGCCGAATGGATAGCGTGTGTGCGCTGTATCACAAGGTCTGTCATTGAGTCAACTGGCGTTGTACGTGACAAGGAGTAGGGTCACCTTTCCATCCTCGTGGCTTTTCTCCGGGTCCTCCGGTTTCCGCCCACTGCTAAAGACCCCTACGCGCAAGCGAATGTATTTAAATTAAATTGAACCATATGTTCGTTCCGAAATTACCTAGTTTGGGGCGTTGGGAGCGGCGGCCCCGGTCATACATTTCAGTGTGGGGGCGACCAACTGGATAATCGAACTTAATTGATAGGGCTGATTTCCATTTTTGAATGTAAATCGATTAAAAAGTTTGTTTCGTCTGTTTTTACAAAATTTAATGTTGTCCATTCAAATTTTTCTGAAAACTATCTAGGGGGCATACCCGGGTATAACCAAACCCCCGCACCCACGGTGTAATGAGGAGAGAGAGAGAGAGGGAGGTCATTTCGGTACTAACATATGGTTTAATTTTTTTTTCAATAATTCGCTTGCGCGTAGGGGTCTTTAGCAGTGCGAGGAAACCGGAGGACCAGAGAAAACCCACGAGGTTGGGCAGGCGACCACGGCGTATCACAGACATATTTGATTATGATGCACAATATGTTAGTCTCTAAATAACTTAGTGTTAACCTATCTCTAGTGATAGCAAATAAATTCCTAACCGGTTGCTTGGAAAAAAATTACCAATAACATTACGCTGTCGTTTTGTTATGTGACATCAAAACTCGTGAACTCGGGATGCAAGAAAACCGATGTAAACGAATATACGCCGTCCAAGGCCTTTGTTTTACGGTGAATGGCTTAGTCAACGAACTGCTTTTTCCAGTATAAATTTGGTATCTACAGTATACGCGATATTACACACTGATCAGCCGTGAATATTCGTTATAAAGGCCGCCACAATCACTGATAAGGATGACATTGATGCGACTTAATGAGCCACAAATATTAACATTTTTCCTGCGACAAAATTCTAAAACATTTTATTTATGTATTAGAACAATAAATAAAGTCGTTTGAAGTATTTGTGGGTAAAAATTATTTCCTATTTAGTGTAAATGGGTATTAAAATGAGTAAAAGGCACCATTTTGTCCGAACCAGTAAGTTCTTATGTAAACAATGCAAGCGCCATTGAGCCAATGATTGACGCCGCGTGATGTGACGTCAGGTGTTGAAGGCAGTCATCTTTTACAGAGATATTAGAAGACTTTCGTATTCCTCTGTGAAACAGATTGGCGTCAACGAACAAATTTTTTCCAGTAGAAATTGGTATCTACAGTATACACGATATTATTGGCATACGTCATAATTACCTGTTAAATCTGCTATTTGTTCAGCTGTAGCAAGATCTGATTTTATGGACTCTAACTCTGTATTAGTATTCTGTAGATCTGTTACAGCCTGACTAGTCGTTTTATTAGTCACTGCCTGGGTTAAACTCGCCTGGATCTCTCCATAGTCTGATTGGCTCTGAAATAGATATAAAATAGATATGGAATGCGTCAGCAGCCAGTCGTAAAAATAGACTCACGACTCACCAAAAACAGGATAAAACTGAATAAGAGTAATGCGGAGGTTTAAAAATTAAGTCTTTTTGCCCAGGATATTCCGGATTATTAGATTTTCATAATCCTCGCCTGGATAAAACTAGAGATTACTTACCGCGAGGAGAACATTAGCCCAGTTTAAAATCAACCAATTTTTGGCAAAATCTTCTTTAGTTAATCGAGTAGTTGGAGGAAGGGAGTTTCGCGATGGTTTGGAACACGTTTTGTACCCCTTTGCAGCTTTGAAAAGCTTACATAACATAATGTATATCGAAACCTGGGCACTTCGGAGAAATATCTTAAAATCACTACCGTTTCTAAGGCTTCTGCTTTGGCAAGTGCTTCTGCTGCAAGGCTTCTGGCTGATGATACTTGGCTGTTTTTCTCTTGGAAACACTTGGTAACGGTTGCTATGAAACTCTGTACATTCGTCACATCCGCTGTTGTAGTTGTTACCAGACTTCTCACTTGGTTGACTTTTGTTGAAGACTGAAAATAAAATTCAATGAACTTTACCAATTTATTTTCTAATAACAAATTGATGACTGGTAACAAGAATGATATTTTCAATATTCAGTCTCTTATTATCTGATGTTGTGCTCGAGACAGAGTAGACTGACTCTTTTCGGCGCGCCTATTACTACATTGCTATGGGACCGACAATTTTCTCTTGTAATGTCCAAGCGTAACTATTAGAAAAACTAATTTCTATACTTGCATTTGTGGGTCTTTCTGTACAGGTCAAAGAATGTCAGGTAGGAGTATATCAAACCAATTTGGTTTAATTTGTTAATACAATGTAATGTAAATTATCCTAATATTATCAGCAATTAGATTAATAATCATTTTGAAAATAATTCGAATTACCAGGCTATTGCTACATCTATAGCTTTATATACTATCAATATACTACAACTAGACCATTCTGTACTACCAGTATCAATGGACCACGACTAGCCCATTCTATACTACCAGTATGAATGGACTACAACTACACCATTCTATACTACTAGTATCAATGGACTACAGGCCATTCCGTACTACCAGTATCAATGGACTATCACTACAACTAGAGCATTCTATACTACCAGTATCAATGGACTACAACTAGACCATTCTATACTGCCAGTATCAATGGACTATCACTACAACTAGAGGGAACTCAAGCTGGGGATTACCAATGCCAATGTATTGTGGGTTTACAAGCATACTAAGTGATTGGGAACAAATGTCAATGCCCTAATTCTAAACCTGATTTGATCAGTATTCTGTTTAGTTTGATATACGTTCACAATGGCCAGAGGGTGAGATCTAATCTATTTCTAATTCTTTCTATGCAATATACTTACCGCCCCTGGCTGAGTATACAATATAAATTTTTATTATTTTTTTAAAACAAAAACAGGTCACTGATAATTTATACAGCATATTAAGAAAATGATGAGACTTTATAAACATGTAAACAAAAATAACAACAACTTATTTACTGATGGCCAATCGCCAAGCTGATTAAAACACAGATCCTATTTCGTTTCGTTTTTTATAGTTCAAAATTTCGTTTTACTTGTCTTCACAACACTAAGATTTTGAAGAGTTGTTATATAACCCGCGTTCTGGTTGATGAGAGAGATTATCCAATGAAACGGTCTATTACTGTGATTTCTTGGCGTGCGGTGCACGGAACTGTGGGTAAACCACTAGAAACGTCAACGCTGATTAATTAATCAATGTCTGACGTAATGTTGTCAATATTCGCTCGTATTAACCCCGACGCGACCTTCAACTGCAACCGGTCAGATCTTCATGTAGTATAGGCCATTAAAAGTATAAAAAAAACGAAACGAAATATAGATCTGTATTTTAATCCGATTGGCCAATCACAGACCTTGAACTGGATAGTTTTCTTGTATATAATCAGTTAAATTACTATATGTCATTGAAATGTTTTATTATTTTTGGAGTAAATGATGTCTATAGATTTATAATTAAATTATTCAGAGTTTTTATAATAAGAACGTAAAGGAATCTACCTGGGAAAGGGCTTGATATATCGTTGTATTATGGGTATCAGCCTGGACTTTCAGTGTGGTAGCATTAGATCTTAATGTATTAGCATCATCTATACTTTTTTGGATACCCGTCACTTCATTTAACGCTAATCTTGAATCCTCTCTGAAAAAAAGAATCACAAAAGCATACTGCTAACTGCCCGTACACAACAACCATTTGCTAACTTTTGGAATAATGAGTGATTAACTAGTTATGCGCAAACTAGTTAACTTTGAGCAAACTATTTAACTATGCGCAAACTAGTTTAGAATACAATGAACTGGGAGTTGGCCGAGGTAGTTCCTCGGGGGGGGGGGGGGGGGGGCTGGGGCGGGCGGGGGATGTCAGCGCGTTTCCCTATATGAACCGTGGTCCATCTTTATACACAATGTTATGCACGTGAAAGAACCCCTGAAAGTTGGAAGAATAAGTGGAATCGCGGGTGTCCGGAAACATATTTTGCTCTACATGGCTTGTGGCGTCTTCATAAAGCCCATTTTGGAATGGTGGCAATTCGCCATACTATTTTATATAAATGTTTGAATTTTGGGGATAGGATTCCCAATACTTAGGTCATTTTGAGAAAATCTTGTGGTACTTATTATTTCTACGGTCACGTTTGCAATGCATGGTATGAACATTTTATCTGACCAGCGGCGTTTGCCGACTACTCTTCTTCCGTTTATTAATGGGTTATTTTCGTGCACTTAAAATGAAACATTCATACGGAATCATTCGATGCTTTCCGTCCTCCGCTCGCATTATGAAGAAAGAATATTGATTATAATATTTAACGTCTTCTTGAAAGCCTTAAAGAGGCATCATGGAATATTATAAAACGGGCTGGCAGTTCTCACAATAATAGTTAAAAACTAGATAATATAAAGGGGATATTCTGAACATTTCAGTCAAATTGTTCTACTCTGAACCGAGATATTAGCGTTTGAATTTTAGGCCTATTATAGGCCTTCGATCACCACTGCTAAAGTTTTGGATTAAGTCATCAATGAGCGTTGAGCAACAAATCGGATTCAAATCCAGTGAAAATACAACACATAAGATGTTTATGGTCAGGATAAGTTAAATTAATATCCAATTAATAATTTAGAAAACATTTTAGGCCTAAAGCAAGACCTGCAATAGGCAGCTTTAGTTCTTGCCTAATGATTGTTAACATATTCTGCCTCTCCAGGTGAGAGTTGTCTACTTACACGGCCTTTTCAGTTACATTCAACACAGTCTTGGCCGTTTCTAAAGCATTTTGAGCGCTGAGTTTCGCTGCGTCTACGTCTGCGGTGGAAATGGACGTATTTACAATCTGTTCAGTAATAGTCGTCATATCTGCATTGGGTCGGATTGTAAAGGCGTTCACGTCAGTCACTTTCGTACTTGATTGCGCCATCTTGTTTTTCACATCAACCAACATCTTGGAACCTGCTATAATAGCCTCGAACGAGCTAGTTATATTTCTCAATGCTGCTTCTGCGTCAGTCTGTGAAAGAAAGAGGGTAGAAGAATATAAATTTTAAAATATCAAATAGTTAAATAATTAAGAGTACCGAATAACATGGGCTTTAATGCCTCGCTAACACAATGCCTCGATCATTTTCCAATCTGATAAAAAATACAGATCTATATTTCGTTTCGTTTTTTTTTATACTTTCGATGGTCTACACTATATGAAGATCTGACAAGTTCTTGCAGTAGGTCGCGTCAGAGGTCATACGAGCAGCTTTTGACCTATGACGTCAGACGTTTGATTAACCAATCAGCATTGATGTTACTAGTGGATTACCCACAGTTCCGTGCAAAACACGCCGAAAGCTTGCCGTAACAGACCGTTGCATTGGCTAATTCCTCACACCATTCAGAACATGTCAATGATAACAACTCTTTCAGATCCTAGCGTGGGTAAAGACAAGTAAAACGAAATTTTGAACTATAAAAACGAAACGAAATAGGATCTGTGTTTTAATCAGATTGTTCATTTTCGAGACAAAAATGAAGAAAATTTATTTCTATAGTTGGGTCATCTTCCTGAAGCAATGGCACGGGAAATCCCTCGCTTGCCACTGATGAATTGACTACTAATACTTGAGCTTTTGGGGGATTATGTCTATTCTTCCCGTTCAATCAAATCTATACTAAGTACTGCAGCACGACAGTCCTTGTTTAATCTGGGGTATTCCCCAAAACTTTGGACAGTGATTTAAGGTATTAAGAACGGAGAAAGTATTGTTCGTCTCCTAGCAGTATTGTTACATTGCAGCCGTTTTGATAGCCTTGTTTGTCACGCAATTATTTTTTCTTCAATATTCTGCTATGCACTGGTTAATTGGGCGTAATAAATTTCGTGAGTCATGACGTAACGTTATGTAAACATATTTGAACCCGAATGATATTGTTACGCAATTAGGTATTGGCTGTTAATCGAACTATTGACCAGAAATTTGCTTTCATTACGGCAGTCTTGGGTGGGATTAGGTCTAATCAAACAAAACACCGCGAGGAGTATGTAGTTGGGTGTGCAATGTCATGGATGGAAATTTGCCAGAACAGCTGTATACGGCTGGGCCTCGGATTTTCGTCCCATCTGAACGGCTAGACACACTATCCATGACAGCCCCACATGCGCAACTACTAACACGCGAAGGCCAGGTCGGGAATCGAACCCGGCATTTTCTAGTTACAAATAGCAACAAAATACCCCAACGTGTGCATTTCTCAATAGATAATAAAATATCGTCTTTACCAACCTTATACTTCACGGCAGAATTATACGTTTCCATCGATGCAGTCGATAAAGCCACTGATTGGTTATAGGCTTCTTGACTCTCTTGTAGTTTGGCCTGTGTGCTGTCTCGGACTTCATTAGTTTTCTGTATAACCATGGTCACAGATTCGTTAGCCGAGTTGAATTGCGATGTCATTTCTTCTATAACGGCGTTCAAGTCTGCTAAAGTAACTTTAGAAGAATTTATGACGCTGTTAATTTCTGATATACTTCCTTCGTTGTCGTTGTATCCTTCGGAGAAGGTTCCGTTGTAGACGTTGACGGCCGTCGCCAACGTCTGTTCTGCGGCTGAAAGTATTGACATGCTAGTGGTGACACGTGCTTGGAGCTGGTTTGTTGTCTGTTCGGCGGAACCGACAAGGATAGACAACTCTTTAATGTGAGCAAAGGAAGCGTTAGCTTTCGAAAAAGCGTCTCTAATCTCGGCGCTCAAATTTGTTAATTTTGTATCCAATATGTCCGCCGTAACGGATACGTTATCGACGTTGACAACACCGGTATATTGATAGACGGTTTCCAGGGTTACCAGTGATGCATTAAGACGTGTTTCCATTTCCATTATACTTGCACTTACATTTATCATATCTTCTAATACCTGGAAAAGAACAGAGTGAGAGGATTTATAAAGCAGGACAGTACCGAACAACCGATACTAGTTAGGCTTCGATTATTTCGTAAACATTATGCAAGAGCTTAATCTGCCTATTGCATGTCTTTCTTTGCGCCTGAAATGTTATCTAAATTATCAATTAGACATTAATGAACTTATCCAGACCATAATCAACTCTCTGCTGGATCGACTTATGATACTTGAGCTTTTGAAGGAGTATGTCTATTCTTTCCATTCAATCAAATCTATCCCAAGTACAGCAACCTGACAGTCCTTCGTTTAATCTGGGTCTTCCATAAAACTTTGGACAATGATTTAGGGTATTAAAAACGGTGAATGTATGTTCGCCTCCAAACAGTATTGTTTACACTGTTTTCGATTTGATAGCCTCGATTGTCACGCAGTTAGATTTTCTGCAATATTCTGCTATACATGTACCCTGGTTCATTGGGCATAATAAAATCGTGTGTCATGACGTAACGTTATGTAAACATATTTGGTCCAATTTGGAGCTCTGTTTCAAACGTAATGCTTTTGTAACGCAGTTAGCTATTGTTTGTTAATCGGACCATTGACCAGTCATAATTTGGAACATAAATTTGCTTTCGTTAAAGCAGTGTTTAGTGGTATTAGGTATAATCAAACGAAACACTGCGAGGAGTATGAGGGTTGGGTGGCCGAATGGTTAGCACGTACGCGTTGTATCATAAGGTCTGTCATTGAGTCATCTGGTTTCGATTCCCCGGTTGTACATGACAATGGATAGGGTCGCCTGTCCAACCTTGTGGGGTTTTTTTTCGGGTCCTCTGTTTTCCTCCCACTGCTAAGGACCCCCTAAGCGCAAGTGAATTATTGAAATAAAATTGAACCACGTGTTAGTCACGAAATGACCTAGTCATTTCCTATCTAATTATGGAAATAAAATTAAACCATATGTTAGTCCCGAAATGACCTAGTCTGTGCCGAGTGGACGTTAAACCCCATTTCTCTCGTGGGTTTTCTCCGGGTCCTCGGTTTCCTCCCACTGCTAAAGACCCCTACGCGCAAGCGAATTATTGAAATAAAATTAAACCATATGTTAGTCCCGAAATGACCTAGTGTGTGTCGAGTGGACGTTAAACCCCATTTCTCTCTCTCTCTCTCTCTCTCTCTCTCTCTCTCTCTCTTTTAGAAAAGCAAGAATATGGTTTCCGTCATTTTTAAATTAACATCATATGATTTATTATTTCTACTCGTAATCGAATACCAACGATATTTCACCCCTGAAAAGCAGAAAACCAATGGTTTCAAACGTTTTACCTTACCTACGACGGGGATCAAATACTTACTTTATTTAAATCTTGTTTGATGGATTCTACGATGCTTGTTATATTTTGTGCTCTTGCTACCGATTGATTAGCGTTCTGTATGCTAGTTTCTATCTCAGTTAGATCCGCCTGTACTGATTCACTAGTCTCTAAACCTAGCAATATTAAAACATAGAATACAATTAAACATAGAAAAAAATAAATTATTTATAATAAAATAAAATATAGAACAGTCTATCTTTAAGATACATTATCTAAGATTTAGATAAAGAGCTAGCCATTCTTGCTATAATAGTTCGATAATAGATAATGTAAAATGAATAATTTGAAAATTTCATTCAAACTAATCTATTGCAAGCGAAGATATAAGCCTTTGAAGGTTTGACAAGACGTGTACAACAGGCAGACTTAGCTCTTGCATAATGTATGTTTAAATTCGCTGATCGTCATTAATTTGAGTTATTTTCAATTCCTTGCTTATTTCCTAACATTCGTCATCCTCTGTAGACGATGTAAACAAACCAGCGCCACCTATAAGTGTTGGATAATATATTTGTAAGGGCCTCTTTTTAACCTGATTGAATTCAAACTTGGGAATTATCTACCGTTGACATTTTCATTTTGTTTTCTTGAATAAATGTTAAATCGTCAACCTGGGTGCATTTGAGCGTGGCTGAAAATTAGTTATTGTTCGAAATCCAAATGACAATAAGGGCTTTAAAGGGCAAGTACTATACACATTTTCCATTAAAGCCCCTGAGTACTAACTTTCTCGACTTTTATAGTCATTCTGGGACTAACATGTAATATAATTTTCTATGGTTACGTGTACGAATTCCAACTGTCAGTTGTTCTTTTACATGTAGACCAATACACAGTAGGCCTCGTTTTAGAGACCTATCTGAACGACTAGGTAGAATTTCCTTGTCCGTCACCCCTGACATGCGAAAAACCAGGCTTCTCGGCCTTCCAGTATATAAGAAATCTGATACAAATACTTAAAAAACTAAAAATCATTTTGAAAAGTTCAAATGCTTTGTATAGACTTACCGTAATGGGAATTTATTACATTAGTTTGTTGGGTAACGTTATCAAATTCCAGACCAATATTATCTATTTTTCTCGCCCAGCCATCAAAACATTCACCACATAAAACACAACCGGGAAACGTACCTTTAAAATAGAAATATTGATACAGTATAATTGGCTTCATGTACTTTGTTAACATATCAACATGTGTAAAATATCAGCTTTATTTAGCATATTAAAATATCAACTTTATTTAACATGTTAAAATATTAGCTGCATTTAACATGTTAAAATATCAGCTGTATTTAACATGTGTAAAATATCAGCTGTATTTATCATGTTAAACATTATTTGTTAAAACGTCAACTTTTAAGGTTATTTCTTAAAATACTACTTTATGGAACGTTATATTTTGTTAAAAGTCAACTTTGTTTAACGTTATTTGTTATAAAAAATCAACTTTGTTAACGTTATTTGTTACACGTCAACTCTGTTTAACGTTATTTGTTAAACGTCAACTCTGTTTAGCGCTATTTGTTCAAACGCCAACCCCGTTTAACGTTATTTGTTCAAATGCCAACTATGTTTAGCGTTATTTGTTCAAACGCCAAACCCATTTAACCTTATTTGTTAACACGTCAACTGTGTTGTTTAACGTTATTTATTTAAAAAAAAAAGACAAACTTTGTTTAACGTTATTTATTTTAAAAAACCCCAACAACTTTGTTTAACGTTATTTGTTAAAACACCAATTTGTTTGTCATTGTTAAAACGGCAACTCTACCGTTATTTCTTAAAAAGTAGACTATGATTAATGTTATTGTTCAAACGTAGACTTCGTTTAAGATCATTTGTTGAAATGTCAACTTTGTTCAACGTTATTTAACTTTTTAAAAGTTATTTATTGAAACGCCAACTTTGTTTAATTGTGTTTAACGTCATATTTTACTACACAAACGGGGATAATGAAGACGGGCTACTTTTCCAACTGTCAAAGCTTCTTTTTCGTGTATGGTAAATATTTCGTATCATCCGAGTGACTAGACAATGATCCTTGTCAGGCCCTCCTGTATCACTGACAAGGGAAAGCAGATCTGGAAAAAACGATAATCGAACCAAGAACATCCTGGTTAGTGGACCAGTGCCATACTCACTGAGCCACCGTGATTGTCTGATTTTTAATTAATTATTCGGTTAAATTTTTTTATATATCAATGTTTCATGGCGATAACAAATACACTTACCGATATTAAATACGCTAATATAAGCAGAATATACCTCTGAAACAAAAAAGACAAGAGATATTTTGTAAATTTTCCTATATGATACTATTTACATTGCTATTTTTTTAAAATGTAAGTCCTGCTCAATAAACTTTTAACCAACACAAAATTCTAGCCCTACAAAGACTTTGTTTTTCAAATCTAAGAAATTCCATAGCAGATTAGAAACGCCCAATATGTTAGTCAGGCGACATTACCCATTCCCACATAATAACTAAGACGAAATTTACAATTGGCATAGTTGACCGAGAGTAGTGATGCATTGCGAAACACCTAGAACTGTACGCCTCGAACCCCACAGTCTACTACAAAACAGAACAGTGATTATATTTTATACACCCCCAGCCCCACCACTCTATTAAGAAACAGAACAGTGATTATATTTTATACAACCCCAGAACCACCATTCTATTAAGAAACAGGACAGTGGGTATATTTTATACACCCCCAGCCCCACCACTCTATTAAGAAACAGAACAGTGGTTATAATTTATACACTTCCAGACCCACCACTCTATTAAGAAACAGAACAGAGGTTATAATTTATACACCTCCAGACCCACCACTCTATTAAGAAACAGAACAGAGGTTATAATTTATACACCTCCAGACCCAACACTCTATTAAGAAACAAAACAGAGGTTATAATTTATACACTTCCAGACCCAACACTCTATTAAGAAACAGAACAGAGGTTATAATTTATACACCTCCAGACCCAACACTCTATTAAGAAACAGAACAGAGGTTATAATGTATACACCTCCAGACCCAACACTCTATTAAGAAACAGAATAGTGGTTATATTGTATACAGCTCCAGCCCCACCACTCTATTAAGAAACAGAACAGTGTTTATATTTTATAACGTACCTTTAGTGTTTTTCGAACACGTGTCACACTTGAGACCGATTATACCTGGTTGTGAACAATAACACTGTCCTGTTGCTAAATCGCATGATCCTTTAGCTTTACCACCTACTACAGCCTCGGCGATACCTTGCTCTTTACACCCACACGCTGAAACATTTATATCAAAATTTATAATACAGTCTATAATTAAAATCGATACTCCGTGGTATCTTTTGCATGACAGTCGCTCGTTGTTTTAAGTAATAGTATTTAACTATTACTTATGATCCCATTCAGTATTTATTTTTTATTAACTACCAGTATTTAACTAATAAATTAAAAACACAAATTATTTGTCAATTCAAATCAACATTGGTCTTGTGATCTTACAGGGAAAAGATGGGCATCTGATATCCAATATTCAAGACAAAATAAACATTTTACCATTGGTACACGAATCGTGTACCATAATGCGTTTGGAACAAGGGTCTCAAAAAACGAGGCTAGACATATTCCAAGTCATATCAAATGGTGACGCTATATTCTTATCTGGAGAGCATGCGGAATAAGTACCATCGGTGTAGACTGGAATAACCAGAAGATAAAGATTGCCATTCAATTGAGACTTCTGGCGTATTTCGCCGAACATAACTGATTAGAAATTACAGTAAAAACAGAAAGGATTTAATGTAAATCAGTTTATATACATTCATATTACATTATTATATACGTTGCGACAAATTTGTGTCAATATCGAGGTCCCAAATATTAGCGATTTATCTCCTTTAAGTATCAGTATTTAACTAATACTTTAATCCCAATCAATATTTTTTTTAATTAAGTATCAGTATTTAATTAAGTATCAGTATTTAATTAAGTATCAGTATTTAACTACATGTAATAGGTACGATCCAAGCCAGTATTTATTTTGAGTAAGTACCAGTATGTAACTAATAGGTACGATCCAAGCCAGTATTTATTTTTATTAACTTCTAGTATTTAACTAATACTTATGATCAAAGTCAGTATTTAAAAAAGAATTATAGTATTCAACCATAAAACGTACATATATATGATTTAACTAATATTTATGATCCCAGTAGTTTTTATTCAGGAATAATATTCAACCACTACCTACGATCCCAGCCAATATATTTGGATTTAATAATAATATCTAACTAATACGTAAGACCCGTTTAAAAAAGAGTTCTAGTATTTAACTAATACTTATAATCCCATGTCTAGTATTTAAGCAATACTTACGATCACAGCCGGTATCTTTATTCAATCTAAAATAAGTGTCTTCACAACCATCACATCGTCGGTTGATTACTTTATTTCTACACGTACACTGGCCACTAGTCTGAAACAATAAGAACATATAAGGTACATGACAATGGACACCAAAGCCGTAAGCAGCCAAAGAGGATTCCCTGCACAAATTTTCGGAACAGAAAGAGAAATGGGGGTCTAACGTCCACACGACAAAAAGTAGGTCATTTCGTGACTAACATTCAATGGTTCATCTTTATCCCAATAATTGGCTAGCGCGAAGGGGTCTTTAGGTGTGGGAAGAAACCGTAATGTCGCTGCTAGGGCAAAATTAATAACACCACGGCACACGGCATGGCGTAAATGATTTCCCCTTGTAGGAGGGTGCAGGACGGAGGGCCTGGCAAGGACAGCTGTCTAGTCGTTCGGATAGGACAAAACCCGAGGTCCCGTGTATACATTGACATATACGTAAAAGAGCCTTTGGCAGTTGGAATTCGATATAAGAGTAGGCCATAGTGCCGCTGCCCGGGCAAAAGTTTCTTAATAGCACACTGTATGACGTATGCCGTCTTCATTAGTCCAGTCGGAACAGAACAGTAGGACGTTAAACCTCGTTTTATTTCATTTTATTTTTGCATGGCGTAAATATTTTAGTTTTCATAAAATGACATGAAATGGGATTTAACATCCTTAAAGATACATTATGGGAGATTCGACAACGAGTTGGCAGTTCTCACTATAATAGTTAACAACCTGATAATGTAAAGGCAATTTGCTGAAAATTTCATTCAAATTGATCTACTATGAGCCGAGAACTAAACATTTGAAATTTCCGCCTAGTCTCGATCATCATTACTAAATTCAGTACGATAAACAACATAGTCTCGATTATCCATTTAATCGTTAAATCGTGAAGGAAAGTTATGCAGTAAATTGGCTCATAATTCACTAAATGTTAGATAACATTTCTGGCCTAAAGAAAGACCTGTAGTAGACAGATTTAGCTCTTGCATAATGCATCCTTAATAATTGTAAATACCTGATCACATGTTGTACCGATAGCACCCTCTGAATTACAATCACACATATCACATCCTCTACCACTAGTAAAATTATACGAATTTTGGACACATTGATCACATGTGAAGCCTTGAACATTAGGGAAACATTTACATTGTCCAGTAGACGGATCACATTCGCCATCAGAACCAGTAGCATTACACACACAAGCTAATAAAAAAGAGATAAAATGCTAGAATATTATATATATTGCTGCATTACACACCCAGGCGAATAAAATAATACAAAAAAATGTGTAGGATTACTATCAAGTTAGAATAATTATACGAAATTAAAAATTCGCTTCGTTTCGTTTGATCACCCTCAAAAACTAAAACGCATCGAAGTCGGCGATTTTCATGGAAAACATACAGTGAAAAATATAAGGCGAATAAAATAATACAAAATAATATGTAGAATTACTATCAAGTAAAAATAATTATACAAAATTAAAAATTCGTTTCGTTTCGTTTCGTTTCATCATCCTCAAAAACTAAAACGAATCGAAGTCGGCGACTTTCATGGGGACAAATATACAGTGACAAATATAAAGCGAATAAAATAATACAAAATAATATGTAGGATTACTATCAAGTTAGAATAATTATACGAAATTAAATATTCATTTCGTTTCGTTTCATCATCCTCAAAAACTAAAACGAATCGAAGTCGGCGACTTTCATGGGGACAAATATACAGTGACAAATATAAAACGAATAAAATAATACAAAATAATATGTAGAATTACTATCAAGTAAGAATAATTATACGAAATTAAATATTCGTTTCGTTTCGTTTCAACACCCTCAAAAACTAAAACGAATCGAAGTCGGCGACTTTCATGGGGACAAATATACAGTGACAAATATAAAGCGAATAAAATAATACAAAATAATATGTAGAATTACTATCAAGTTAGAATAATTATACGAAATTAAATATTCATTTCGTTTCGTTTCATCATCCTCAAAAACTAAAACAAATCGAAGTCGGCGACTTTCATGGGGACAAATATACAGTGACAAATATAAAACGAATAAAATAATACAAAATAATATGTAGAATTACTATCAAGTTAGAATAATTATACGAAATTAAATATTCATTTCGTTTCGTTTCATCATCCTCAAAAACTAAAACGAATCGAAGTCGGCGACTTTCATGGGGACAAATATACAGTGACAAATATAAAGCGAATAAAATAATACAAAATAATATGTAGAATTACTATCAAGTTAGAATAATTATACGAAATTAAAAATTCGCTTCGTTTCGTTTGATCACCCTCAAAAACTAAAACGAATCGAAGTCGGCGACTTTCATGGGGACAAATATACAGTGACAAATATAAAACGAATAAAATAATACAAAATAATATGTAGAATTACTATCAAGTAAGAATAATTATACAAAATTAAAAATTCGTTTCGTTTCGTTTCGTTTCATCACCCTCAAAAACGTAAACGAATCAAAGTCGTCGACTTTCATGGAGGACATATAGTGAAAAATAGAATATGGGAGCCCAGTTGGCTTGTTGAATATGACGCTGGCTCGGTAACCAGGCCCCCGTTTCACAAAGCATTCTCAGACTTTAGTTAATAATTAACTCAACTTTCAATCACCGTTTATGAGAAATATCTTTGATCCAGAAACATTAAAACAATACAAGTTTTGTAAAGCGCTATATTTTACTTAAAATAAGGTGAAAAATTTTGGGTAAATTCTTAACTGAAGTCTGAGAATACTTTGTGAACTCGGGGCCAAGAGTTCCGGGATCGTACTCCCAAGTGGGCTGACACGAACATAATTATACGTCTTGTCGTTCAGCAGCACGTTAAAGATGCCCTGACAGTTTGAAATCGCGCTAAGAGTGAAGAAAATTGGGTTTAACGTCCTACTGTTTTGCTCTTACTGGGCTAATACAGAAGGGCATACGAAGTACAGTGTGCTATGAGAGAAATTTTGACCAGACATCGGTGCTATGGCCTACTCTTTTTAAAGAATTCGAAATTCCAATTGTCACGTGTTCTTTTACGTGTACGCCAATCCGAACGACTATACGTTGTCCTACACCACTGACAAGGGGGAACCGCGCCGGAATATTCCGACGAACTGTCTCGGTCAACCCCACGCTCAGAATAAGCATAGGGTTTTAGTCGAATTGGTGCAGAATAGTAAGTCGCTAAAGCCACTTCGGCATGTAATAATCTTGAAAGAATCAAACTTACGCTGGCAGAAATCGGTCATGGCATCACCGGAATATTTAGCAGCACATATCTCACACTCTTTTCCTGCTGTATTATTTCTACAGTTCTCACAGATACCGGTTACTGTATCACATGTATCGGCTCTTCCATTACACAAGCATGGCACACATTTACCCCCATTCATCTATATCAATCATTAAAAAACAAATAAAGTAATCTTAACAGATCTGTTTTTAAAAATGAGTTGTCAGACTACAAAACATACATCCACACTGGTTAAACCGTCTGTGCCGTCCTCAAAGAATGTGTTATTGTCAAGGGCGTGGTGACCCATGATTTTGCATGAGTAGCAAGATTCAGTTCGGGGCCCCTCCAAAAAATAATATTTATATGTGTGTGTGCGGGGGAGGTGGGGTTGTCCCTCCCAGTGCCTCCGAGTAATATTGTGGGACATGCTAGAGTCGATTTGTGGTATATCTGACCCACGGTATATGTTTGACACTGGTTGAGCATTATGAATATAATGTTGAAATCCACATTTGCGAGGTAGGCAAAAACGCAAGTGAGCGCAAATGCTCAAAACCATGACGCAAAGCTCGTCATTGCGCCTCTCTCACTTAGCCCCTGGTTATTATAAATATCTAGATAAATAACTTGCAAAATTATTTTTTTTTAAGAACGTATAACATCAGTGGCGAGTTGAAAAGATACTAAGAAATAATCAAGTGTAATAACTCTATAAGTAGCTATTAGAAATTCAATATAATCAATATATTAAAACTTCAATGATGGGATGATAAATGTAGAGTTTAAATAATTCGCAAGAAACTGGGGACGACGAACCGACTGCGACGACAGCAATATATACTCCCACGTCATGGTACTAGTTCCCGAGATCTCTAAATGTTTCATGTTTTGCTTGTAGGAAAAGCTGAACTTACGGTAGTGTTTTCTGGCTGTCCATAATAACCAGTTACACAAGTTTCACATCTATTACCCCCATGGCCTTCCGTACAGTTGGTGCATTTTGGTCCACCACCGGCGTCCAATTCACACATTGAAGCAAATACGTTAACTTCCTCCACAATAACATTACCTGGACACGTACATGGTTTGCAATCATCTGGTTAATATAAAAAAAAATGAAAATGGGGTTTAACGTCCTACTGTTCTGCTCCGACTGGGCTAACGAAGACGGGCATACGTCATGCAGTGTGCTATGAGGGAAATTTTGACCGGACCGCGGAGACGCTACGGCCTACTTTTATATCGAATTCCAACTGTCAAGGGATATTTTACATGCATGCCAATGTGTACACGGGAAATCGGCTTATCGTACCATCCGAGCGACTAAGTTGGAATAAGAAATAAGAGTAGGCCGTCGTTGTGTGGATGCGACGAAAAAGAGGTGTGTGTAAAAGAAGCACTGGCGGTTCAAAAATACCTCCACTCTCATTTCACATGTATCCACAGGAATGAAATTTACCACATGCCATGTTAGTCTCCAAATAATCGAAATATTATATTGGCGAGATATAAACCTCAGTTCATTGGGGGTTTATCAGCTATTGGACTTTCTATAAAATACAAAGCGTCTTTTCGCGATTTGCCGTGCAATATTACACATGTTTTTATATACCTGGTGTTCCTGCTAAAGCGTTACCATAGAAACCATCCATACAGACATCACAATGGAGACCAGTGGTATTGTGTGTACACGTACAAGCACCTGTTGTGACGTTACACGGGCCACCTCCGCCATGCCCATTACATTTACAGGCCACACATGTTGAAAATGGTCCGCCATTTGGAACTTCTCTTTTATACCCTGAGGCGCACATCTCACAGAATTCTCCCTGGAACAAAAAAAGAGCATCGTGTTTTCAAGACGTTTATCAAATTGGCGGATTTTGATGTCCTTTACGTTCACGTCTTCCCGATTTATCTTGGTGAAAACAACTGGTTATTTCTAACTGTTCAAAACATTTATCGTAGTCTTGGGCAACTGTATCAATATATTGATGTGAAACTGTGGGACAAAATAATTGCAATATTATTTGGTGTTTGATTTGGGCTAAACATTCCCCCTCTCATTTCCAGTAATATAATCTAGTGGTGGTTTAATTATAGGATATTATCAGTCTAGTTTGCTTTCTATGTCACATTTATCTCTGGACACCATGTAAAATCTATTATCGATACCATGTGAAATCTACTCTGGACACTATGTGAAATCTACTATTGATACCATGTGAAGTTTACTCTGGATACCATGTACAATTTACTATGGATACCATGTGAAAGCTACTCTGGAGTCCATGTGAAAGCTACTCTGGAGTCCATGTGAAATCTACTCTGGATACCATGTGAAATCCACTCTGAATAGCATGTGAAATCCACTCTGAATAGCATGTGAAATCTACCACTTCTCGCTAAACACAAATTACCGGAATTCATTAAGGAAAGCCGATTGTCAAACCACCCTTGTTTTAGGATTAATTGTCAACAAGGATACAAAGACTGGACAACTTACAGTAAATTCTGGTGGACAGGAACACAGTTCCACATTATTTATTGGTACCATGGATTCGTTATTTTTACTAGCAGTATATAATTTGAATTCAAATAAATCTGTTTCTGCTTCACTGGCCTGTAAATATAAAAGGAGCGGGGTTTTAATTGCTGTTAATATTGTACATTAGGAATCATAATAATATCAGAGACAAAGCTAAAACTAAATAGTGTTTTACATCCAACCGTTTTGACCAACCGGCTTAATGGGGACGGACACACATTGCAATGCCCAATAAGTGACATTTCGACTGGACAGTGGCGCCCGTTTACTTTTCTGAGAGGAGTTTATCGTCCACTCGACACAAACTAGGTCATTTCGGGTCTAATATATGGTTCAATTTTATTCCAATAATTAGCTTTCGCGTAAGGGTCTATTAGCAGCGGAAAAAACCGGGGGACCCGGAGAAAACCCAGGTGGTGGGACAGGCGACCCTACTCCTTGTCACGTATAACCGGGGAATCGAAAACACGCCAGCTGACTCAATGACAGACCATTCGGCAATCCCCCCCCCCCGACGTCTTACAAAGCGCGTAACCTTTTATCTAGTGAGCCAGAACATAGGCGTTAAAAAAAGACTTTAAAGACTTGACAACCGCAAACTTGTGTTCCGGTGCGACTGGGCCAACCGAAGAGAACACGAAAGCTTCCCGACGTATTACAAAATCCAAGGCCCACCGAATGATCACTTACATTGCTGTACTTTCCTCGAACCTTGATAAACTGTATATCCGTCAAAACCTGCATAAATTCTTCATAGGTAGGTTGTCTGTTTTCTGTTCCATTAATAAACCATTCGCTTTCTTTTAATGTTACCTGAAATTAGCATGCAGTGTGTTAAACGTAGAATTTTTCATTTCGTTTTTGAATCTTTATATGGCCTCGATATCTATGGAGCTGACTATTTGTCAGGGGTCAACTGTTTATATAACCAATCAGCATATCTGTTTCTGGTGGCATTTCCGAATCTCTCAGGGGCGATAATCCAGGAAGATGCGGTCCGATATGCGCAAATATGAGAAAGACCCGAGATCTTTGGGTTATAAACATACACTTTAACATCCCCTGGTAGTTGGAAATCAAAATTAAAGCAGGCTGCAGGATAACCTTTGCCTTCTGGAAAGTTTCTTAGGAAACATGTATCTGTGATATGACCCTCGGTGCAAGCAAACACTAACCCCAAATAACGAACGAACAGTTATAGCATTAAACAAAGACAAAGAGGGGTGGGGGCAACATCCACTTGACACAAACTATGTTATTTCGGGACTAACATATGGTATAATTCTATTTAATAAGTCACTTGAGCTTAGGGAGGTCTTTAGCAGTGGGCGGAATACAAGGATCCGGCCCTTCTCTTTGTCACGTACAGGCATGAAATGGAAACCAAGGCACTTGATTCAATGACAGACTTTATGATCCAAAGTGCTCTCGGTCACCCAACGTCGCCCCCCCCCCCCACACACACACTAAATAAAGAATAGTAATTTACTCACGTTGTAATGTGTAATCGTCGTACCAGGTAAAGAAAGGTCTTTAGCCAATACAAAATCTGTGTACCTCCCTTTCATACAGACATCTCCTTCTGTGTAATTACCCAACAAATCTTCATGGGTAGATAAACGGAGGGCCATAGTAAAGAATTGACCATAAGCCGTACGTTTACCACCTATGTATTTAGCTGGTGCCAGGAAATACAGATGACTTTTATTGAGGTTGTTAGCAGAGTTCATTATTCTCATCACATATCTGATAATAATAAAAAAATAATACGATGATGATGATGATGATGATGATGGCGACGATGATAAAGTTCATGATGGTCATAGTGGGGATGATGCTGACAGTGTGAGCAGTCGAAAGATCAAACAAACATGAAGCAACAATTCTTGGCTGTGTGTAAAGTGGTATCAGGTGTTCAAAAAAGTGGATGTCCTGCAAGATACGCCCACATTTTGCAAGAGATGGACAGAGGACAAGCTCAAAAAAGAAGCGATTTTTCGTACAATCAGGGGCCACAATCAAGGAAGTTACGGTCCTATATGCGCAAATATCGAAAGAACGCAAGATCTTTGGGATATAAACATATATTTTAAGTTTCATCAAAATTGTGACCTCTAGAGGGTCCACAACTTGATATTAATACTTTAACACTTAATGCGAACAAGGAGCGGCCACTTTGTCCGGCAGTTTTGGTTCGATATTCATGAAATTCGAACTCAATCATTATGGTGTAAGTGTCATATATTTGAAGGGTATTTTTAAATGGGATAAAAATTGTGATCTCTAGAGTGACCACAAGCTAAAAACACGATTTTTTGTACAATCAGGGGCCATAATCCAGGAAGTTGCGGTCCGATATGCGCGATTATCAGAAAGAACCGAGATCTTTGGGTTATAAACATACACTTCAAGTTTCATCCAAACTGGATAAAATCATGACGTCTAGAGTGTCCACAAGCTAAAAACGTGATTTTTCGTACAATCAGGGGCAATAATCCATGAAGTATCGATCCCATACATGCCAATATCGAAAGGAACCGCGATATCTTGAAGATAAACCTATATTTCAAGTTTCGTCAAAATCGGATAAGAATTGTAACCTGTAGAATGTCCACAAATAAATTGTGGACGGACGGACGGGGGCGACGACAATGTACGTCCACGTATAAAATATGAAAACATTTTGATTTGAAAACAATATTATTTATTGCAGATGAAGACTGTCGTACTTGGGTCATGCTATACATGCTCTTTCTTAAAAAAAAAACAACCGATAAAACTTCTCCTTTGAGGAAGTCAAATATCAAACGACTGTTGTTGGTGATGATTCTCCCACAGAGGCAATTTTGTTTTCAGGAGCATAAGATTAGGCATGCAAATTATCGTACGACTTTGACAGAAAAAATATTCCAGTTGATGGGAAAATAAATATGGACAATTATTTTTTAGATAAAATTTATGATCTATTTTAAGGGAAACAAAATGAAAGTCAGTGTGAGGAAGACATAACAAAATGAAAGTCAGTGTGAGGAAGACATGTAACTATATCTTACTGAGGTGGAGGACCAATTTGAAGAGGATCATCAACCATTACATTATTACCATCACTATCAATACCCAACCATCTATCATCTACAGCTGCTGAATCTGTGACGCCCCAGGAACTGATGACCTCCGACCTGTACCAACCTTTACCTGTCGTACAGTTCGTCGTGTGTTCACTACAAAAACACTTAATGCAACCCTCATCGCTCCAACCACCAACTCCAAAATAACCTGGAAGAATTTTTAGAAAAAAGGAAGATTCTAATTTTCTAAAGATTATTTACATGACTGACACAGCTATTCGGTTACTACTAAGCAATGTTTTCATATAGGATACCAAACATTCTACTGATGCCATCTATGTCCTGTGGTCAACCCTCGTTGGTATGTAGTTAATTACATCAAGTTTGGCTTATAGTTTTGAACCACCAGGGCCCGATTTAGATGAGACCCCTTCCAATCCACCACCCTCACAAATTAGAGGAAGATGAATGGATGTTATAAACACAATTGAGCAAATCCTAGGATGTTGACGGATGTTTAAGACAACAGTACCCGTAAGAAAGACTTATGACAGTTTCAAAAATATTATACACCGTGGCCGGTCGGGCACCCTCCTTGAGGCCCTAGGCTTCACGTACCAAGATTGCTAGAATTTATGCTCTTTAATTTAATAATAGTATTATATTGTGAAGGGAGGTCAGATTGCCTGCACTGAAATGAATGATTGATAGTTGATACATAAAAAGTTATAATTTGATAAACATTAGCTGGTTGCGTGGGAAGGAGAATATATTATGTTTAACACGTGATCGGAAAATTACGATTGCATCATTTGGCTTAATTAACCAATCTCTATAATTATTTACATCATATTTGACCAATTAGATAATTGAAGGTTCAAAACCCAAAACTACAAAACTATCATATTTGTGGGCAATGTCAGACAGCAGCTTGATTTTAGAAGGGAAAAGATGTAGAAATTTCTATGAGCAGACTCGCCCCAGCGAGTCTGGCTGGATAGGGTTTGAGAGAATGACTTTATTATTGCAATCTATTGTAAAGTAAGCTTTATATGTATCCAGCTATGATATATAAAATGTAAAAACGAACTATTGCATTGTTATTCCTGGTAACTAACAGAAGTAAATACACAGTAAGAAGTAAATACACAACGTGCAGTGGAAGCAAAGACGACAAGTGAAAATACTAGATGATCACAAGGCTACTAAGATATGTAGTAAGAAAAGATTCATGGGTCATACGTAGGATGTGGCGACCGGTGTGGTGTGGTCCGCTCTCCACGTCTGACAAAAGACCCATGGTACTACACCAGTCTGTTAAATCTGTAGGTATATCGGGTACTGCGGTCCACATGCACTGACATATTCGGCTATCCTAGAGCTTACAGTCTTATCTTCGGTTGTTCCAATTTCCGCATCTATATAGCTAGATATAATTATTCGAACAATATGGAATACAAACCTGTTTGACATTGGTCACATTTGTCTCCCATTGTTTTAGCTTTACAACTACAGATACCGGTGACGTCATTACATACGTCACTGACACTACCGTCAATATTACAGCCACATTCCGTGCAACTGTCACTGGTTAGGTTATAAAATCTGAAATTACAACAATATAACAAAAATTGTTGTGCCATCTTAAAACAAACATTTATAAAACAAAACGTACAGTCAGTTTGAAACGATCAATATTCATGCTCTGTCATTAAGAATTTAAATTTAACAATGAGCAATTGCAAATTCTCGGTACTCTGCGTATCGGTCAAGTTTAACCACCAGGAATAGATGATCTTTGTTCGAATAGAGATAGAGAGAGAGAGAGAGAGAGAGAGAGAGAGGGGGGGGTCTACTCAACACAAACTAAGTCATTTTGGGATTAACTTTTGGTTCTATTCTATTTCAATAATTCGCTTGCGCGTAGGGGGTCTTTAGCTGTGGGAGGAAACCGGAGGACTCAGAGAAAACCCACGAGGTTGGGCAGGCGACCCTACTCCTTGTCATGTACAACCGAGGAATTGAAACCACGCCAGTTGACTCAATGACAGACCTAATAATACAACGCACACGCGCTAACCATTCGGCCACCCAATCCCCTGCAATAGAAGATACGAAAAGAGCACGAGCAGAGAAGACCAGAAATGGATTTGGTGGTTGTTATATTAAAAAAACGAAGATGTACAATATTTGGAGACGCGATATCAAAATTTTGAACGTGATCTATTTAAAACTGTGAAACGTGTTGCTTTGAAATGATGACTATAATGTTCAAATCTTGATAAATTGGAAAATATGATAGATCAGTAGCAAAACAGAAAGGGTATGTATATTTAAAATGGCTAGAACTCTTTGATTTGAGTGAAAAATAAAGTGGTTGATTTCAGTAGATTTTATATGTTGATTTATATCCTTGTGATCATTTTAGTATTGATTTGTCTTTCTTCGTTGATCATTTCCGGTCTGAAAATAAAGCCAACATTGAGATATAGCTGGTTTTATTTAGTAAACAAACTTGGTGGGATTTTATAACCACACTAATGGTTTAAAATAGCAAGTAAGCAAGTAGCAAAGCGACGAGAGGGGAGAAGGGAGAGGATAATGCGATGATTTGACCCAATCTGTTTAAAACACAGATCCTATTTAGTTTCGTTTTTTATAGTTCAAAATTTCGTTTTACTTGTCTTTACTACACTAGGATCTAGAAGAGATGTTATATAACCCGCGTTTTGGATGATGTCAAGGATTAGTCAATGAAACGGTGTATTACGGTGAATTTTTGTCGTGAGGTGCACGGAACTGTGGGTAACCCACTAGAAACATCAACGCTGATTGGTTAATCATGTCTGACGTCATAGGATCAAAAGCCGCTCGTATGACCTCTGACATGACCTTCCACTACAACCGATCAGATCTCCATGTAGTGTAGTCCATCAAAAGTATAAATAAACGAAACGAAATATAGATCTGTATTTGAATCAGATTGGGATTTGACCCCTTATGTTACTAGCACCCTACGGGGTAAAAAATATCAATGAGTATTCTTACCCAGATAAACATTTATCACAATTCTGACCGCCTATACCTGGTTTACACCAACACTGACCATCGTCCTGACAGGTGTTATTTATAGCATATTGCAAATTACAGGTACACGGTTGACATCCATTACCTTTAATATACATTGTAATATAAATGAAATGAAATGGAGTTTAAGCCCTACTGTTCTACTCCTATACTGGGCTAATGAAGACGGGCATATGCCATACGGTGTGCTATGAGGGAAATTTTGCCCGGACAGCGGCACTACGGCCTACTCTTATATCGAATTCCAACTGTCAAGGGAACTTTTACGTGCACGCCAATGTGTACACGGGACCTTGGTTTTTCGTCCCAGCCGAACGACCAGACAGGCGCTCGGTCCTGCATCACTGACAAGGGGGAACCAAGCCGGAACATGTGGATGAACCTTTTTCGGCCAACACCCGACCTCCAGGCTAGCGAGCCAGTGTCTTACCCACTTAGCCACCGTGCCCCCCCCCCCACTATTATAATACAGCGTACAGAATCACCCTATACCCCAATTCAACAGTCCCCCACAATATACGTAATATAAATACAGCACCGCACGTTATTTCAATTTAATTGAGATATTCAGCAAATAAGTTAAATATATGTTATCTTACCTGAGCTGAGGCCATATTGTTCAGGTAGACAGGAATCACATTTTTGACCTGTCACATTAGTTTTACACGAACAGTCACCAGTCATATTACACGACTGTTTTACTGACCCATTAATGTGGCAATTACACACTGTAATAAAAACAATTCATAACAATTACATTCATGTCACAATTACAAACACTTATATACTGCAAATAAAACAGTGCATTACATTAATGTCACAATTACAAATTGTAGTCAAATAACGTATTACATTAATGTCACAATTGCACACTGAAAAAAAACCCAATGTAATTACATTAATGTCAGAATTACAAACTGTAAGTAAAAAACGTATTACATTACTGTCACAATTTCACACTGTAAAACAACATTGCATTACATTAATGTCAGAATTACACACTGTAATAAAACAATAAATTGCATTAATGTTACAATTTCAAATTGTAATGAAACAACGTATTACATTAATGTCACAATTGCAAGGTGCAATTAAACAATATATTACATTAATGTCACAAGTAACGCTATTAATAAAACAATGTATTACATTACACAATGTAATAAACAATGCTTGTATTAATGTCACAAGTACACACTGTAATAAAATAGTCTATTACATTAAATCACACAATTACGCCTACTCTCCATATGCCCGGCTTCTTTTACGTGCACACTATTGTGTACATGGGACCGTGATTGTTTCTCCCATCAGAGTAACTAACGTCACTGACAAGGGGAAACCAGACGGGGAAATCCCAAAGAACATTCTTGACCAACACCAGGGACGATCGTAGCGGGACCTCCGGTTAATGACCCACCGCGGCTCCCAATTAAACAACCTATATTATCTATATATGATACTTACAAGTACAACCGCCTGTAATATCTATATAATATAATACTTACAAGTACAACCGCCTGTAATATCTAGTCCATACGAATCAACTCTACATATTGAACAATCTCGAAGTGTAACACCGTCTTTACATACACACTTGCCACCATATTGGTCACACACCGTGTCAGGCATGGCACCGGTTGTACTACACGCACAACCTATAAATAGAATTAAAACACAGATGTGACGTCATCCTTTGATGTTGGCGTACCATTATTTCCAATAATGTATCGACAACTTGCCAATCGTACATTATCTATACTAGATGAAACATGACGTATTTAATTGAAAAGCACGCGCTGGATAGTGTCTGTAATTTAAGTTGTTTAATGATCTCGAGCTGAAGACATTGCGTAATATATTGAAACAACACTCGGCTAACGCCTTGTGCAATATCAATATATTACTTAATATCTCGCTCTCGACCATTAAACAATACTTAGTTTAAACATTCTATCATTGGCTGACTTACACGTTGCAGCCAATCGGGTACACTATTAGATATCAACCGAAACTGGGAGTCTCTTTCGAATTAAAAACTTGGCAAATTAATATTAAGTGGTACAGCCGAGGAAGTATGCTACAATATGTTGCACCTGGTTTTATTTCTGACTTTCAACAGTAGATTTTAGTTTCCTGTGCATTTCTTTTATAGCTTTACATTTTTTTTGTGTAACGTGTGGTGCCTTCTTCCTGCATTTCTTGAAATCATAATTAAAAATAATTCATTCAAGCCTTTTGATTAAGGGCAATAATTCAAAATTCAACATCGATATCGGCCATGTTAACACTCATGCAGTCAACAACTAAAACTGCACAATGGGTACACGGAAGTGTGACATACAGATATAAAATGGCATATAAAAACGTACCCATCGCACCACCAACTAACTCGGTCATCAGTGAATATTCTAGTGTGGTACAGTTTAAACTAAGACGATTTGGCATGTTAACTCCTATAGACGCCTCCCGACACATCTCTAGTTTTACTTTAGTATCATTATCAGCTTTTATATACGTCTGTAACTCAGTTATTACGGGTAGTAGTACAATCTTTAAATAATTAAAAAAACATAATGAAGTTTCAGCGTCTTGATTCCTGTTTACCGACAGTTCAAAGCGGTACAACTAATCACCGACAGGTGCCGGGTTAGTTGTTGTCAAAAATGGCCAAAGCCTAAAGTGACTGCCAAGGAAAGATATGTTATGGATATTAAAATATGAAGAATTTATCTAAACCTTTGTCAAAATTGTTTTGTTTTAAATAATTACTTAAATATTGGATAAGATATCTTTCATTTTCGGTCACTTCTTGCGATACGTCGCCCAAATAAATAAGTAGGCCCATGTCCACTGCTCTATTTAAAAGATTCTTTATCATACCGACGCACCCAGTCTCGCAACCAATTTTTAGTTACAAAATAACCAAAACCTAAAAAACCTAATACAATGCAGAGTAAGCTTACTGATAATAATTAAAATAGGATATGATGAAAATACCAAAATCAGATTTATACTAGCGGTGGAAATCGAGACTACGCTATTCTTATCAAAACTTCAGACATTCATAACTTCTCTCAGAATAAAGTAATTTGACTGGAATTTTCAACACATTCCCTTTTTATTATCTATTTTTATACTAATAAAGCAACAATGGCCAGGCCACCAGCTCTTTATCTAAATCTTACAAAATGTATCTTTAAATTATTTCGTTAAAATAAAAGCCATTTACCGAATCAATGAGTAGTCCTGTAGTTGATGGTGTAGTCAGTGTTAACGTGTATGATTGGTCAATTCTACCACACAAACGAGTTAATATCAAACCACCTAAACACAATACAATACATAAATATAATATTTAGAATATCACGGATTAAAATCAGTTTCATGGATAAGAGAAGAACAGTAGCGATTTTTCAAGTGCAGCTCACTTGTCAGGGCAGTGTCTATCTGTACAGTTTTAATATTCCCGTTCTTGCCGATTTGGTACCCTTTCTCGACATGTTCATAACCGCATATCTTATGGCATCAATATCTTTTGGCCTCGGGAGTCAATTCTGTACGCGGAATAATTTGTGATCTTACCCACGTGTACTTTTCTTCTGGTGTTTTCCCCTCCCTACCAGAAGATCAACCGTGTCCTACCAAAAACCTCACCCGTGAGCTTTGTCCTACTTCCACAGTCGCACAGCCATTTTGTAATGATTACTTAAGTTCTCATTAAGCTTATTAATGCAGTAGAAGACGACGACAACTCTCGTAAGGCGAGGCCTTGGATGGCCACAGATCACTAATGATTTCCCCATTGACTTTAATGTTAATTCTCGTCTCTTAAACCGGCTCTAACTTTTTCCCAAATTTTCGTTGGGCAGAACGCTTTCTACCACAGATGGAGCAACATGTGGCAGCCTCTTGCCCAAAAGCACGTATGAGGTTCTTCATGCAATTTTCGGCCCTACATATAAAAATAACCAACCTTTCAACTCTTGTATCCTTCCGCCTCAAAATTATGAATATTCACCAAAACCTGGCAGAAAATGTATTTTCAAGCCCCTTTATTCGATTCTACAGCCAAAATATCGCCATGCAAAAGGGGGGGGGGGGAGGGAATGGGATAGAAAGACTAAAAATAACTTTCGCCGTAGAAATATTTGGTGAGCTGTGTCCGGATAGCTGGAGACTAGTGATCGGAGGACATGTATACTGGGATCTCAGTGATACATAAGGGTTCAGGTAGAAGACGATATATAACGAGATGCAACCCCTATAACCAGTGTGGATTAGACGAACTCCATGGTTAGAAACGTCTAATCAATAAACCTGTTTATTCTCACCATGGAGTTCAGCTAATCTACACTGGTTACAGGGGCTGCGGCTTATTAATAAATGCTTCACCTCTAGAGGCCATTGCTTGTATTGTTGCTGGTATCGTCCATGTATTAGCTGCTGCTATGGTGGCACCATTGCATGTATATTCCACGCCATTAAGTTGCTTAATGTCACCAGTTATACCCGTTATCTCTGTTGGTGTCTAAATATATAAATATATTAATTTATTTTGGGGTGCAACCATTAATATGTATGTGGGAAAACTGTTTGTTTCTAACCTTTCATCAACAACATAACCTACGTTCATGCATTCCCTCGATTTCATTTTCTACAAGGATTTTATGAACGCCAAATTACGATTGGGCAACATATGAAACATATGAACATATGAAACGTGATCTAGTTAAAACCATAAAAGTGATAGGCCTAATTGTTTAGCCAGTAGATTGTACATGGTTCTTCTGCAAAGGGAACTATCTACACGTCATCAGTGACTTGGCCGCGTAATGTAAAGCTACAACTACATAAAGTCAAAGACAAAAACGACTTAGTACAGCAATGCAGGACTGCAGAGCGAAGCAAAATGCAATTAGTCCTTCTACAATGTTAACTAACTATATAAAGTCAAAGACAAATAAAGGACTTTGTACAGCAATGTAAAGTTACAGAGAGAAACAAAATACGGGGAAATCGATCAGGGGAATAATTACATAAATTATAGGGTGGCCCATGTGCTCTACAGAAATAAAGTCCACCGCTGATAGTTCGAGACTACCACTGAAGCGTACACATTCGCCGTGCCGAGACCAACTTTCTGACAATATGATACTATAAATAGCCATGGCACGTGCAATTCTCTACAAATCTATCAACTATTACAGCCGTAAAAAATTTATTGTTGACGATTTTGAATAGCAGTGAAATTAAGCTTCTTGGTTATTACAGCAGATTTAGAAATTACGTTCGTTTCATTTTTTAAATCGCTTTATCATTAACTGTACCGTTAAGAGCGGCATCTTTTGGTTTAGTACAAATAATATCTCTGAATCACTCGGATTAGACAGGAACATGATACTTGCAGTAGTTTCATTTTACTTTTACAAGGTTCTTAAAACGATTGTTGAGCTACCTAACGTGCTTATTTCTAAATTCAATTTCTTGTTCTAGCTTTCTGTTATTTTTCGTAAAAAAGTAGTCTTGATTATCCCGACCTGTCAATCAGACGTAGAATGGTCGATAGACTGGTTAAGCGAGACTAATTTCAAAACAAGGGCACGTAACCTATCTTTTACTCAAAAGTGTCTGGATGTAATGGACGACACTTGGAACCAGTTTTCAGTCTATTATTTATGTATTGTTTAATGGTCGAGAGCGAGACATTAAGTAATATATTGTAACAACATGAGGGCCGTAGGCCCGAATGTTTTTACAATATATTACGCAATGTCGTAAGCTCGAGACCATTAAACATCTTAAAATACTGACACTCCGCACGAGCTTTTACGTCACACTAGTCCAATATCTCACTGGTATGAATAAAGTACTATTGGCAAGTTGCCCGTACGATTATTTGAAATAATGGTACGCCAACATCAAAGGGTGACGTCACATCTGTATTTTAAAGATGATTAATGGTCATAGCTTATTAAGTACAACATGATCGTTTATTTAGTGACTATAATTGTGTGAAACTGATTTGAGGCTTGGCATATATATAAATATTGTGGCGTAATTGTCGAGATATAAGGAGATATATGGAGATATTTATTTATGGTGGGTCACCCTAACATAAAATCAGAGACAAATAATTACTTGGTACAACAATGTAGCTACAAAGTGAAAAAACAAATACAAGTATATTACTTCTTCGATACGAACTACAAAGGATGATTTAATGCAGCAATGTAGGGATTCAAAGTGAAACGAAATGCAAAGCTGTGCGAATATTGAGTCCAAATAAATGAAGTTTAAATAAAATTTACTTACCTCGTATCTAAGAACCACATCAAATTGTTTATTAAGTTTAGTTGTGAATTGTAGCTGTACCATGTTAGTTGAAGTGGGTAAGGATATCAGACCACGACCAGTTACAGTTCCAACTGCAACACCTTCTCCAATTCGATCTATTTTATTCTCATCCTGGTTAATAATAAATAATAAATATCACCACCAAAAGCACTAGTTAATTAGTTTCTAATACACTCTAGCTATGTGAACTTGTCATATGATCGAGAACTGGTTATTAGACGAGAAGGCACATATTATACCATCATATACATGGGGTTTAAATTCCGACGTTTTGGCGATTCCCCGGTTGTACGTGACAAGGAGTAGGATCGCCTGTCCAACCTCGTAGGTTTTCACCGGGTCCTCCGGTTTCCTCCCACTGCTAAAGACCCCAACGTGCAAGCGAATTAATGAAATAAAATTGAACCATGTGTTAGTCCCGAAATGACCTAGTTTGTGTCGAGTGGACGTTAAACCCCATTTCTCTCTCTCTCCGACGTTTTGGCACTAACCGTGCCAATTCATCTGTCAATTCATCTTTAACATGCTGCCAGTGATATAAACGGGACATCCGAAAGACTAAACGATATTCCTTGGTAGTCCCTCCGTTATTCACATAATTTGATTGGAAAACCCGACAGGAAAATTCCCAGGGAATTTTCTCGGCCAACACCAGGATCAAAATCGGTACCTCTAGGTTGGTGGATCAGCGCCATACTTGCCGAGACGAGCCCATACAAATTGACAAATCGGGGTAATGGTATGTGGAGTTAGCCAACAGAATGTGTCAATTCGGTGGGTGTTCCTATAGCAAAGTGTTATCAAATGTTCCTGATGTGCAGGACACCCACCAGAACTATGTGGCCTGCCTCAATCGATTAGGGTACACTATATCCGAGAGGTACTAGCTTTTGAAGATGGTTTTTGAAAGCTGTACCAGATGATCCTAAACGAGTTAGCATACTTGGCATTGTGTATGACATCCACAAGAACTATATATCTCCCTCTATATCTGGAAGATGGCTTTCATCCCTGATATAAGCAGGAGATCCGAAAGCTGCGCCAGATGATCCTGAACGAATAAGCATACACGGCATTGTGCATGACACCCACCAGAACTAACGATACGAGTACACTGTATCCGAGATGGCTTTCATCACTGAATATGCTATCCAAATATCTATTGACACTTACCAACACATTAAGCTGGAATTCTGCATCAAATCTGAAATGATCTAACTTGGGAGCAAAAAAATTGGTAACAGCTGTCCGACAGTCTCTATTCGCAATATTCGACCTACATGTACACTGACCATCGTTATCATTGCACACATTACTAATAGAAGCTCCTGGATCACAATCACACGGTGAACATCCGGTATCTTTCGTTTCGGATAAACCCCACGTCTCTGCCTAAAGAAATAAAAGATAATAAAGAGCTAATTATATTTATCTAAATTTAAAACAAATGGGTGATGATGTAGTACTGGATCATCCCAAATGATCTATTGGGCTGAACATTGTAGTGAAAGGTCTCAGACTCTATCTACCCCCGACAAGCACAGACTCATTCTGTACACAGAGATCTACCTACTCTATTCTTCGTGAATAGATCTCTGGCCTAAATGGCTGCTATATCCAAAAATTAGTATACTGTTTTGTGATGGGTTTCTACTCCGTTTGACATCTGTCATACAGAATAAATCCTCAACCAAATTCTCGAAGTATTCTCAGTGTTTTCGATTAAAATTGTCGATTTAGGACATAAAATGTCGGTCAACTAGCTTAGTGTCAACTAGTTTAGTATATGGTATAGACTGTTTCACAATTGGACAATAAATCTCTGTCTTAATCTGACTAAAACACAGATCCTAATTCATTTCATTTTTCATAGTTCAAAATTTCGTTTAACTTGTCTTTACTACACTTGGATCTGGAAGAGTTGTTATATAACCCGCGTTCTGGTTGAAGTGAGGGGTTAGCCAATGAAATGGTCTATTACGGCGTTTGATGCACGGAACTGTGGGTAAACCTCTAGAAAAGTCAACGCTGAATGATTAATCAATGTCTGACGTCGTAGTGCCAAAAGTCACTCGTATGATCCCTGACGCGACCTTCCAGTACAACCGGTCAGATCTTCATGTAGTGTAGGCCATCGAAAGAATAAAAAAAACGAAACGAAATATACATCTGTATTATAATCAGATTGTCTCTGTATCGTTAACCTTTTCGGTAATTGGAAAGATAATAAGGAGGGGGGTGGGGTGATAAGTTCAGGGCTTTTAAACTGCTTAATAATTTAATCTTAAATTCCATAATAGCATTCCGAAAATCAACTACCATTAAAAATTTCATAAATGGCCTGTAATGGAATAAATAATAAAAATAACCTTTAGTCTGAAAAATTCCACAATTACTCTTCTGCAACAACATGGGTAATGAAAACAATCATATCCCATGCAGTGTTCTACCGGGAGAAAATATCGTCCAGATAGTGTTTCCCGCTTATTCTTCACCGACGGGTTTGTACATTCACGCCAACGAGTACACGGGTAGACTCACGGTTTTCAGTACCATCCGCACGACTAGATACCTGTACTTTTCCAGGCCCTCTCTCCTCCTGCAAGAGGCAGGGGTACCGGGATCGAACTCCAGTCTTTCTGGTTACTGAACTAGCGCTGTATTCACCCAGTAGCAAATTACAACACCACCCCAAACGTATGGCCCTGTCAATAATCTGTGGAATGGTTTCGCTTACCTTAGCTGGCTCGCCAGCCTGGAGGTCGGGTGTTCGATCCCTGCATTGGCCGAGAAAGTTCATCTGGATTTTCCGACGTGGTTTCCCCTTGTCAGTGGTGCAGAACGGAGGGTCTGACAAGGACAGCTGTCTAGTCTTTCGGATCAGACGAAAAACCGAGGTCCCGTGTATACATTGTAATGCACGTAAAAGATCCCTTGGTAGTTGGAATTCGATATAAGAGTAGGCGATAGTGCCGCTGCCTGGGCAAAATTTCCTCCATAGCACACTGTATGTCGTATGCCCGTCTTCATTAGCCCAGTATAGGAGTAGAACAGTAGGACGTTAAACCCCATTTCATTTCATTTCTCTTACCTTACATGTATCGCATGCACGTCCCTCTGTATTTTCTTTACAGAAACAGTCCCCTGTGGTTTTATTGCACATGTTGGTATTATTGAGAATCCCTTTTAACTCACATACACACGCTATAAACAAAGACACATAGGATAAACATAGCATAAACATCACTCTACCCAAAGACACATAGCAAAAACATCAGTCTACTCAAAGACACATAGCATAAACATAACTCTACTCAAAGACACATGGCATAAACATAACTCTACTCAAAGACACATAGCTTAAACATCACTCTACCCAAAGACACATAGCATAAACATCACACTACTCAAAGAAACATAGCATAAACATCATTCTACTCAAAGACACATAGCAATAACATCATTCTACTCAAAGACACATAGCATAAACATCATTCTACTCAAAGGCACATAGCATAAACATCACTCTACTCAAAGACACATAGCATAAACATCACTGTACCCAAAGACACAGCATAAACATCACACTACTCAAATACACGTGTCATAAACATCGCTCTACTCAAAGACAGAAAGTATAAACAAGCTCTCTGGCATTAAAAATCGGGACTTAGTAAATAAAACTATCTACAAGCTAGTCGCAAAATGACCACAAAATATAATGCGAATAAAATCCTGATTTGTTCATTCACAAAATGAGGTTATCTCCCTTGGCTTACCTTCACACCCGTTTGTTTTAGCCTCAGCAAGTCCCCAATAGTTATCCTTACATTCGGCACACTTCTGTCCCTGCACGTTGGTCTTACAATAACAGTCCCCGGATGATGAACAATTAGTTAAACCTGCTACAGTAGTTCCATCTACATTACATCCACAAGCTGAAGAAAAACATTAATAATAGTCAATCAACACCCTTTCTGTAACAAAATCAATTTGCTAAAGATTACTAAAGTATATGTTTAACTCTTGCAGTTAATTCCATACCGTGTAAGTGACGTAAAAGATCATGACGTAAAATGGTGTACATTTTTGTTCATCTGCTACAGTATTTCATTTACTATATCCACAAGCTGAAGAAAAACATTAATGGCCTAACCGTTAAGCAACATTCTTTTTGTAATAAAATTCATTCCCAAAGTTTACTTTTGGCTCTTAAGGCGTCACCATAAACGGGTCTAATGTAGTTTCCATGCATGGAAAATGGCGTGTGTGGTGGCGTTCATGTTTGTTCATCTGACACACCCAGCGAGTTGCTTGGCGTAGAGAAATTCATTGGAATAACACGAATCATACGCCAGAACGCTTCACCCAAACTGGTTGGGTTAGGGTTAGGGTTGGGAATAGTCGACTATATTCTGGTGTCATTACAATCATATGCAAGACGGCTTCATCCCTAATGGTTAAGTTTAGGGTTATCTATCTTTTGGTGTAAATTCAATCCGTAATCTAAAAACAAATTCCTGATATTACATTTTTGGCAATTTAATAAATGTAAAGAGTCTGCATTTTCCCCATACACACATGATTGCATATTAGTTTGCATTTGGACTTCAAAGTGAAATTCTTTAAAATCAAGTACTCACGTATACAGTAGCTGCCACAATTATAACCTGTAACATAGCAGACAATATGTTAAAACCAACGATCGACATAAGCAGTTGTCAAACAATATCTTATACAGGTCACAATTTTATGGAATACAATTACTGCTTTTTACTGAGCGACGTTTCGACTAGGCTTCTCTAGTCATTATCAAGCTATGATAATAACTAGAGAAGCCTAGTCGAAACGTCGCTCAGTAAAAAGCAGTAATTGTATTCCATAGAATTGTGACCTGTATAGTCTAGTTCAATTACTAAATGCCATTGAAACAGTTTAAACAATATCTTATTTTTCATGGCTTAATACAAGCTAAATTGAACTCAAATTCATTATATATTATTTAATTAAGAAAACAAAATCAATGATAAATGGAAGTTAATCTCCTGGGTTGGATTCAATGGGATTAAAACAAAAGATATCTGTGACCGTTTCTTATATCTTATACATTGTCCGCAGTGGATGCCGAATGATGACAAATTCAATCTTTTCTTTGTAAATATCTATCGGAATTTAATTTAGCCCCTCTTGGACTTATACTTCTTTTAGAGAGGATTGTGGTTTCTAAAGGAATTCCTTAATCCTTCAAATGACGATCGGATACTTTAAGTGGTGGAACTTATTTTTGGAACGATTTCCAAATTCTTTATAATCACTAATCGTATTAAGACTAATATATTATTCAGTATTCTAACCAAATTACAACCCAGTGAATTAGTCGTAATTCGTCTAGAATGAAGAGAAAACTAAAGATCTATGTGAACAACCGACCCCGAGTTCAGGACCCGTTCTCTGCCTGATTCAACAACATTTCCCCGCGTTCTACATGCAATATGGTCATCACGAATCGCCATTTTCATTGATACTTCTTATTCTAAAGCCAAGATGACATCCTACAAAAATAGTATTATGGGGTATTGCCGATGACGACTGTGTTCGTGTAGATAACAGTGTCGTATTTTTGGAATAGACAGTTAACCGAAACTACTAAATAGAAGATTGCCGTTTGCGTTTGTAGAAAAGCGAATATGTAATAACTTACTTGTTAACGTCGTTCCCACCAGAGCTGTAAAAATAAAACAATCTCCGTAAATAGCCTCAACAACAATAAAACTAATGAATTAAAATAGTGTTTAACGTCCTAATGTCCAGTACGCACAACACAATTTTGATTTGATTATCGTTGCCGCGTTCCAGTTGTAATTTGGATTGATAACCATGTCCTTTTTTTTAAAGCCTAACTCTTGGCGTGAGAACATTTCTATACCTTGGTTACCAGAAAAACTTCTTCTTGAAAACTTCTCAAGAAAGGCAGCAGACCATACAAAGATTTAACGAGTAGGGATAAATTTGATACTTTAAGTCTTCCATAGTTTTAGATTCAGATATTTGTATACAGGGTTTTGTTTCAGCGTTCAACCATTTAAGAGTTTTGTCACCGTGGTGGTCTTCTTTTCTTTCTTTTTTTGAAAACCAAACCTTTTGGGGGTTTTCAATAATGTATTCCAAAGACCAAGCAGACAAGGAATTTTAGAGGGTATTTTATGCTCACATTACCCGGCTCATTTTAAGTTTGAATTTTGAAGTTTAAAGATACATTATGGTAGATTAGATAACGAGCTGACAGTTCTTACTATAATAGTTAAAAACTAGATGATGTAAAGGGAATTTGCTAAAAATTTCAGTCACATATTTGATCCACTCTGAACCGAGAATTTAGCGACTGAATTTTAGGCCTAGCCTAGATCATCATTACTAAAGTCGGTACGATAAAACAAACATAGTCTTGATTATCCATTTTTTGATTTAATCATCAATGGATGTTGAGCCGCAGATAGGATTCCAATCCAGTAAATATTGCAGGGTAGCGATGACATTGAGGGTTGATTATGGTCTGGATAAGTTAATTAATGTCTAATTAATAATTTAGATAACATTTCAGGCCTAAAGAAAGACCTACCATAGGCAGATTTAGCTCTTGCATAATGTATGTTTAACCTGGTTCTAGTTTTGTAAACCTACTCTGATCATAAGTTCAACGACCGGGTTATTCCATCCATTTAAATGTGCAGAAAGGTAGGACGCTAAACACCATTTAATTCATTCATTCATAGTCACCCGTCACAGCAGTTTAATGAAAACCTCCAGCCACAATACACAGTATAATTGTACACAATTGAATACATATTAAACGAACAGTTCTATTATATCAATATTGATTTAGAATAAATATAACATTATTCTACTTTCAATTTCATTTAAATTAATCAATACGCAACTGTATAAACAGGAAATTTATAATACGCATGTCTTTTTTTATTACTTCTTTATTATACTCCTACTATAGACACACAATACTAATAAAAAAGAGCTGCAAATGAATCATAATAAAAATACAGTTTGTATTTTTAGGTGAGTCATATGTAGTCATATATTTGGTAGCTTTTTTTATATTCCAAGTTTATAATTTATGTAGTTATATGACGCATGTTTCATTTTAAAAAAATGACTTAGTAGGAGACACAAAAAAAAGCTTCTTTTTTTATTGAAAGTTAATAATTTATCTATACATAAATAAGATGGAAATTATATTGAAACTAATTTACTGGTAGATAAACTAAAGTTGGTTTTATTCAAATTTAACAATTTTATGTATTTATATTATAAATATATTTATATTTTAAAGCTTCGTAACTAGGATTGATATTAAAATTGTTTTGAGTATCTTTGAAAACCTTATTCTGTATCAAAGTTAATAATTTACCTAATTATTTACATCATTTATTTTTTACTAAACTTAGTTTGTGGGGAAACAGATTAACACTGTTTTGTGTCAGTTCTGGGAATTTATCATTAATTCTGTCATATTTACTGAAGGGTGTTAATAATAAGTTTGTAGGTTTTCATGTTTGTTCGGTTAGTGCTAAATGATAGGGCCAGCTCAATTTTTTGTCATAGATTCTGAGATGTAAACAGGACTAGCGCTAATCCCAACCCTAACCCTAGCCCCAATGCTTACCTTAACCCTAATCTACAATCTTGCCAACAATCACGTGTCCTAACCTTATTTAGGTCTCAGTCATATATCTTTACATACGTAACTATCGCTGTCTCTTATGTTGAATATCTTTGGTACCTTGTATCTACATTCAAATTCATGATTTATTCTTTCGTATTATCTATTTTGTTTTCGTATTAAAATTCAATAATTTATATATCTATGGTGTATTTTTTTTAATATTGAAATTCAATCATTTATTTATTAACATTTGTTAAAAATTTACCCACTGTTAGACATATTAAAACTATAAATGAATAAATAACGATTTATATAACATTTGAGAGACACATTAAAATGCCTTGTGTCAATTCGGCAAAAGAATCATTTTCTTTCCAACACTTAATGCCGCTTATAAATGTTAATAATTTTCGTGGGGAGTGTATATAGTGTCGTAACTGTTTTCAAATTTAATTATATATTATAATTTTTTATTTTCTTATTGAAAGACACATTAAAACTATTTTACGTCAATTCGAGGATTTAATTATTGTCCATCACAACACATAATACTCTTGATCGGTAAATGGCGTTTAAATTTGTCAAAACGTTCATGTAAGCCAAAATACTTGCAGTGACATGTATTGTGTTGTATTGTATTGTATTGTATTGTATTGTATTGTATTGTATTTGCGTATACGGTACTGTAGCGTAGTATGTAGGTGTTTGTAGCACATTCGTGCATTGAACATACACAAACACTATCAAGACCCATGTGATGCGTAAACTTCAATCGTCAATATCTCGGTTAGGAATACAATTTTGCAGCTAATTTCATCATTTAAAAATATGCGATGACCAAAACAACATTGTGTCCTAAAAAAATTAAGTTAAACTTGCATTTCAGTATTTGGCTTACCTTCACACGTTCCGATGGGTTTTGGTAATGGTGTCGTTTCGTTGGTGGTATCCCGAGAGAAATAGGGATTCATAGTATAACCTGGATTGCACTGATCACAGAATTCCCCCCTGGTATTATGAGCACATCCCTCACATACACCATAGCCTAATGTATCATCATATCTACAGCTTGTAGCGTGCTCATTACATGCACACTCTGGTAAAACAGAAATAAAAATTTCAGTCAAAGTGAAATGGAGTGTAATAAAATGGGTTAGGTTCCCGCTATCACGATTCGCGCTAAGATTGAAATCGTGGTTTTAATAGTGGAGTAATCATGGTAAGCCTATCAGGTCTTATCATATATCGTGGTCAGACGTAACAATTGTGTTGATTGTATCGAAACGTATCTGAATGTATCGGATATTGAGCCGATTACGGCCATTTAATTTCTAAAATTCATTATACGATTATATTTTTTTATGTTCCGAAATATTAAGCAGAAGTCGGCTGTATCTCAGCATGTTTCGTCTATAGACGTAAAATTTTCAACAAAGGCAGATTATTATCCTGTAAACAAAATAACGCATGAAATCCAATTAAATCGACCTTTTTATTTTGACTCACATCAAGTACAAATGGACAAGTACAAGAATGCTTACATCAAGGAGGTCAAGCCATTTAAAAGGGACAAGTATACAAGAATACTTACATCAAGGAGGTCAAGCCATTTAAAATGGACAAGTATACAAGAATACTTACATCAAGGAGGTCAAGCCATTTAAAATGGACAAGTATACAAGAATACTTACATCAAGGAGGTCAAGCCATTTAAAATGGACAAGTATACAAGAATACTTACATCAAGGAGGTCAAGCCATTTAAAATGGACAAGTATACAAGAATACTTACATCAAGGAGGTCAAGCCATTTAAAATGGACAAGTACATGAATACTTACAACTAGGAGGTCAAGTCATTTAAAATAGGAGTTCAAGCCATTTAAAATGGACAAGTACAAAAATACTTACATCAAGGAGGTCAAGCTATTTAAAATGGACAAGTATACAAGAATACTTACTCTGACATTCATTAGCTTTGTCATGTTTGCCTATCTGCCATGTTCTATTGTTGTATAGAGGTAGACAAGTCTCACAGTGTGTCCCCATTGTATTATGTCCGCATTCACATTCAGCCAAATTCTACAAACAAGGCAATCTGATTAAAATGCAGATCTATATTTCGTTTCGTTTTTTTATACTTTCGGTGGCCTCTACTACATGAAGATCTGACCGGTTGTAGTGTAAGTTCGCGTCAGAGATTATACGAGTGGCTTCTGACACTATGAAATCAGATATTTAATTAACCAATCAGCGTTGATGTTTCTGGAGGGTTACCCACAGTTTCGTGTACCTCACACCAAAAACTCGCCGTAACAGACCGTTTCATTTGCTAATCCCTCACATCATCCAGAACAAGGGTTATATAAAAAAAAACTCTTTCAGATCCTAGTGTAGTAAAGACAAGTAAAACGAAATTTTGAACCATAAAAAACGAAACGTAATAGAATCTGTGTTTTAATCAGATTAAAGGCAAAAACAAACAGAATATATATCTTCAACCAACAGTCAGAACAGACAGCCATCACTCCACCCCTTGTCTTCACTCCCCACAAAATACAACCATAGGGAACAAAATATATTTTGACACTTTATTTCGAATTTGTTAATTAACGACTGGTTTAAAACATATTCTTATTTTTAAAAAAAAAGAATTAAACTAATTATAAGAATGTGGCATTTTCATAGGCCATGAGCTAACATTTGGGCTTTGAATTTAGTGCTTTGTTACTGAACAATAAGTACACAAATACACAACATACCCAAATCTAATACACACATAAAAAATAAATTATACTTATAAATAAAATTGAACCATATGTTAGTCCCGAAATGACCTAGTTTGTGCCGAGTGGACGTGTACTAAATTAGCTAAATCTGTCTATTGCAGGTTTTTATTTTAGCTTCAAATGTTATATAAATTATTATTTAGACATTTATTCACACGACAGGCCTATAATCAACTCTCTAGACTATTGGATGGCGTAGATGTAAACGGATTAAAATACGGTCGCCATTTAATGATATAATTTCAAAATGGAGAAGCGAGGCTGAGTCTCGATTAACAAGTAACTTGGCTGCAATAATAAACAATTTATGTCAAAACTTCGATCTTTGAAATTTTCAATACATGTATATTAATTTTGAACTATCAGCTCTTGATCTAAATTTTTACATGATTCATCTTAAAGGGAATATAACTTGAAACACTTACGCCACCTGTGCACTTTGAACCATGTCCGTAACAATAACAATGGCCGTCTATTTGAAAATCCGACACGGCGTAGTAAGACTGTAGTGGTGTCTCATATCGTGGTATAACCAGGTTTATTCTCACTCCACTCGTAATATAATAATCAACAACAGCTTTATTATCAGTAAATTCTTCCCCGTAATCCGCTGCTGGGTTAAATGCCACCTTGAATAAATGATAAATATATACAGTTTATAAATAATTGTGATTTGATGATCGATGGTTGACTAATACCGCCATCACACCAGGGTGGTGTTCTTCCTGCGCTGCTACGTCGACGGTAAATGGTATCAGAGCGCCTCAAGATCGCCATCAGCGTTGTGGTAAAGCCAGATATCGTGCTGTGGTCTCCATCATGCTCCATGGTCGAATATGATCGCCGAGTGGCGGCGTTTGTTTTGTGCATTTTCAAAATAAACGCCAATGTTCTGCGATGTGACCTGGAAAGCTGTGAGAATGTGGCTTTTTTCAAGTTTGTAATTTTTGGACATTTATGTTCACGTTTGCCGGCGACCGTATGTGCATTTTCTGGTCGTCGTACAGTCGCAGCAGCGCAGTAAGGAGGCCCCTCCGGTCTGACGGAGGCATATTGAATTAATCCGATCTTTTGGTAGAGATAAAAGGACACTTGTTTTAACGTCCTTCGCTTCACTGCGATATCACCTCGGTGGAAGCGGACGTAAAATACAACTAACTCACACACAACGCCCTTCTCTTTTGCACCAACCAGGCGAATGAATTACGGGCATGTGCCAGGCTGTGTGCTATGAGGAGAATTCTGCTTGGGCAACTACGGAGGGCCTGGCAAAGACAGCTGTCTAGTCGTTCGGATGGGACGAACAACCGAGGTCCCGTGTACAAATTGGCGTGCACGTAAAAGATCCCTTGACAGTTTGAATTCGATATAAGAGTAGGCCGTAGTGCCGCTGTCCGGCGTATGCCCGTCTTCATTAGCCCAGTAGGACGTTAAACACCTTTTCATTTTCGTATTAGTGCTCAAACATGCTAGTTACTAATGTAGCTATTAGCTAACCTTGCCTATTGTCGGGAGTAAAGTTTGTCTGGCTTCAAAGTTTATATAGACTAGTATTTAGAGATATTTTCTCACGACAAGACCATAATCAACTCGGGTGGCTTAGATATTGAGTGGATTATACAACGCCCCTAACGCTTACATGACCGGACAATCGAGACATCGTTTATTATGATGACAATCGAGAATAATGAACCGTGAGCGACGTTTCCAACTGTCAATAATTATATTCAAATTAATCCTAGTGTTTAACAAACGAAACGAAATTTTAATTAGGTATATATTAGCTTATACAACTAGCTAACTTTCCGCTTTTTGTAAGTAACAGGGGTGGATCCAGAATTTTCAGAAAGGGGGGCGTGCTGCCCCCACTTGGGAGTGCGAAGCCCGGACTGACGGGCAATCAATTAAGTCACCAACCGACTCGTTTCGGAGTAAATTACGATTTCCAACCTAAACTGACTGTTAATTCCTTTCCCACGAGAATATATGGGGTACAAATACAAAATTGATCGCCACCGCCCCCCTCCCCCGCCTGAATCCGCGCCTAAGTAAGGCCCTTTTTATGAAGGCCAAAATCTTTACTTACAAAATAGGTATCATTATGACCTCCAGAAGCAAATCCACCAAATATCTCTTTGTCTTCGGTGCAGAATGGTGTGGTGGCATTCCTGCTAGGGCCATTCTTTGGTTGTACTATTACATCAGGAAAATCCGCACAGTTGTCGGCATAATATCTCCATGGTTTCCACGTAACGTTGTCATTGTCCAGTCTCTCTATAAACATGGCCTTGGGTCGAGAATCAACCTTTATGTTAAAAGGTGCGCCAATAGATTTAAAATACAACCGGGTGTGTTTAATAGTAAATCTATTGCCCAGTTTCGCCGTTATCTGCACAGTGGTGGCAGTCGCTAAATTAGCAGATACAGTCTTGTCCGACTGCCAGTACGTTTGATAATTTGGATTGGTAATTGTCAGATCAGGGCTAGTACCGGTACCAGGAATAATAGTCGTCTCTTTGTCTCTCATCTTGGCCTTGTCAGCATCCACAGAACAAGCAAATTGTGTATTATTATCTGTTACACCGAGACCTTCATACGAATCCCCGACAACACAATTCGAATTCACATCCAAAGTAATTTTTAGATTCGCTACCTCTTTCAGGAATTCGACGGTACCAGGATAACAACCTCTAGTCGACAGACATTGTGAACTCGTTGATGATATCAAAATACAAAACACATAAACACGTGAAAATATATGAAAATATGACACAATCCACGCCATGTTTAATCACAAACACTAGGCCTACACATTGATTACGTTGAAGTTTCAAAATCTCAAAACCGAACTGATTCAACGCGGTTTGAATTCCCCAACAATATATGATTTGGTACCCCGATCACTTTTCAAAATGGATGTTTAAACTCATCCGAGATAAATATATGAAATACAAAATAAAATATCCTTGGTGTTGTCCGCCATGAATTGAAATAAAATAAATTGATCGTTTTCAGTGAGAAATCCATACAGGTAACATGTGGGATAGTATTGATTTCTTGTACCACGCCCATTAGAAGCCCTAAACGTCAATCATAATAAAAGTGGGTGGGACTTAATATATACATTTGAATATGATATTGATTATGATTTGAATGACACATTATGGTACATAAACGAGAGATGCTATAATGAACACCTGTTGTAATGATGAATATTTGACAAACAATTTTAAGGCTTGTTCTAAACGAATTCTTATTTCAATTGCCAGATTCGGAACCTATTTTCGGAAGTTACATTGGCGCAGTGGGTAGACGCCAGTTCAATAATCGAAAGGTCCCGGGTTCGATCCCGTTGTTGTCCGAGAACGTACCTCGGGATTGTTCAGCGTGGTTCCCACTTGTCAGTGGCACATGGGAAGAAGGTATTGCAAGAAAACCCAAAGTCCCGTGTACATATTGGAATTCTTTGAAGAGTTAGCGGTAACACCGCTGTCCGGGCACAAAATTGTCCCCATTGCACACTGCATGGCTATGCCCGTCTTCGTTAGCCCGAATAGTGTAGAAAAGTGGAACCTTAAACCCCATTCGGTAGGACTATTCATCACAGATCATGGTGTTCTATAGATTGAGGACATGACCATTCGAGATCTGAGATAGAGAAACACTATTGGGACTAGAGAGTGAATATCACTGTCTATCACTGACTATCAGGGTTCTAGAGATTGGGGGGGCACTATATACTATTCAAAAAAAGTAGGGGATATTTGATTTTGGGGGCATAATACTAAAATATGCAAATGACTACGAAAAAAGTCACTATAGAACCTAACAGAAGAAACATTTCCAGTTACATGTGACGCCCAAACGCACCAATAGCTACCGCATGGAATGCAGGTGATGCTTGGGATCATCATGGGGGTCCAACCCAAGATTTGCACGACTCTGACTTTGAATGTTACAGTCATTGTGGCATTGAATTCCAGGGTGGAAACATCAGTTTAATTGTTTTAGTGACCAGAAAACAAATTTTGATATGCGTCGGCTTACCCAAAATGAAAGGTTACGTGCCCTTGGCATGCTACAGATCGGCACAACACAGGCGGTTGTGGCGCGGACGATGAATGTTTCTCAGTCTGTCATAAGCAGGCTATGGTCCAGATACCGTGATACACAATCTGTACAGGACAGACCACGCTCAGGTCGACAACTCAAGCCCAGGATCGATTTATCCGTACCTTGGCCTTGAGAAATCGTGTCAGCAAATCAGATCAGCGCTCGTCTTCAAACAGACACTGGTGTGAGAGTGAGTGGCCAGACGATTCGGAATCGACTGCATAAGGGTCACCTTCGCGCCCGACGTCCTCGCGTGATCCCTTGTTTGAGAGATCATCACATTCAGGCAAGACGTCGTTGGTGTAGGGATCGTCAACACTGGGATAATCGACGCTGGAGCAATGTGATGTTTTCAGATGAGTCAAGGTTCACTGTTGAGTTTTTGGACAGACGTAGGAGGGTGTGGCGTCGTCGAAACGAGCGCTTCCAAGACGTTAACGTTAATGATCGATTTGGGGGTGGTTCTGTTATGGTGTGGGGAGGCATCACTGTTGCTGGAAGAACGGCTTTACATGTTGTTGCAGGGCGTGTTACAGGCCAGTACTACCGGGACAACATCTTGGCAGTCCATGTTGTGCCGTTCGCACGACGTCATGGCCGCCGTTTCATCTTCCAGGATGACAACGCAAGATGTCACAGGGCAAGGATCGTTACAGGTTACCTCCAACAACAGAACATCACCACATTACCTTGGCCAGCACTGAGTCCCGACCTCTCCCCCATCCAGCATGTCTGGGACATGCTTGGACAGAGGTTACGTCAACGTCAACAACGTCCTGCCAATGTCCAAGAACTTGCTGCTGCGTTGCAACAGGAATGGGACAATCTGGACCAAAATGACCTTAGAGGTCTTATTAGGAGTATGCCACGTCGGATCAATGCTTGTTTGGCAAACAGAGGAGGATTTACCCGTTACTGACTTGGTTGTAATGCTGTGGTAACTTTGCTGTTTGACCCCGGGTATCATTTTACCCTTATAATGGTCAGTCTGTGCCTTACTTAGTCTAACGATCATTTGGAATAAATCGATGAATGTGAACTTCATTTCATTTTGTCATTTGTTTCTTCGTCAGTTTCATTAGGTGACTTTAATAACACTTAAAAATCAAATATCCCCTACTTTTTTTTAATAGTATATATCACAGACTATCAGGGTTCTAGAGATCATCAGAAGGGGGTGGGGGTAGTAGGGTTTGGGGAAGAGCCAGAAAACCCAGACAGACAATCCTATGCCTTAACATGACCCTACCCTTATCACAAAAGTTTTCTAATGGAAATGGGGTTTAAGGTCCTACTTTTTTTTTTATAAAACATAACAGACAGCCATTGTTTAGATGTTGTTTATATACATTGTCACTTACATAGTTGAACCTTTGTTTTTTCCTATTTATTCTCTAACAACAAATTATTACACATGGTGATTAAATATTTCTCCATTTTTACACATGATTGATTATTGGTTAAAATATCGTCAGTGTCTGTGCTTCTGTTACGCTGCCATGCAAGGTGTATATCTTAGAGGGAGACCATTAGGCTGCCACGCAAGATGCCTACCTCGAGGGTAACCATTAGGCCGCCATGCAAAGTGTGTATCTCAGAGGGAGGCCATTAGGCTGCCTACCTCAGAGGGTGACCATAAGGTGGTCAAGCAAGGTACCTACATCAGAGGGAGACCATTAGGCTGCCACGCAAGGTGCCTACCTCAGAGGGTAACCATTAGGCCGCCATGCAAAGTGTGTATCTCAGAGGGAGGCCATTAGGCTGCCAGGTAGGGTGCCTACCTCAGAGGAAGACCATTAGGCTGTCACGCACGGTGATAACATCAGAGGGAGACCATTAGGCTGCCACGCAAGGTGCCTATCTCAGAGGATGACCATTCAGCGGCCACAAAAGATGTCTACCAAGGTGCCTTTAATCCAACTAGGCTTCCACATAAGGTGCATATGTCAGAGGGGTGCAGTACTGACCTGTGCGTGATACCATTTGATTAAAGTAATTATAGTAAATAAATCTTATGATATTCAGTTTATCTACTCAACAACCAAAGATAGGAAAGGGGATCCTGTGGCTTTGTCTGACACCTAAATATCATGTTTCCAAATTAAAATTTTGATATCTATTCATTAATATTGTAATACAAGACATTAATTAACTTAATAGTAAATAGAGTATATACTACTCTTAGAATATAGCCATTTTATAATAGAATCATGTAGCTATGTCATGTACATCCATCAAAACAACACACAATGATCATCAACAAAAGTTGCTGCAGTGATTATCTATTAATTCCATGAATAAAATATCCAATCAGCAATCTGTGATAAATTCTGTTAATTTCTAATGCTTTTTAATTTATACTTGAACATCATGGAAGGAGAAGTGTTAAGCATTTAGCTAATGGACCATCCAGAACTATCGCTTCCTCTAGCCCCTCAAACTGCCAGTGAATAGCTGTGAACTATTTAAGGGAGAGAGAGAGAGAGAGAAATGGGGTTTAACATCCACTCGACACAAACTAGGTCATTTCGGGACTACTGTTTCAATTTTATTTCAATAATTCACTTGTGCATAGGGGTCTTTAGCAGTGGGAGGAAACCTGGAGGTTCCAGGGAAAACCCACAAGGTTGGACAGGTGACCCTACTCTTTGTATGCCACTTGACTCAATGATACAACATGCAGTGTTAACCATTCAGCAACCCAAACCCCTAAACTATTAAAGGATGTATACTGCAACTCAGAAGGGCTTTGAGGCAGTCAAGTAACATTGGTTTTGGGGTGGTTTCAAAAATGAGTTACAAAACTCAATATTAAAAATATCAATTTTACTCAATGATCTGGTGTAGTCAATATATACACGTACCATTGTACCAGATGCCAAAAGAAATAACCCAAAATTTCGGACCATATAATCCTCATATTATAAGAAATCCCATTAAAACTACAGTCACACATTTGGCATATCTCTGGATTCTGGATTCAATCAACACACAAATTTGAATGTTTATAAATGTTTTACGAGTTATAGTTATCATTATCGAAATAACGAGAATCGTTTTTGTAGAGTTCCTTCTTTACTAGCTAAGGCACCTTCAATATCATCATATTGAGGTAACTTGTCTAATGTTCCATAAGCAGCAACAGCTGGTTTTGTTCGTAACATTCGATTTGCCACTCTTTTGATATCATCTGCTGTAATCTTGCCTATAAATATGAAAAAAATATCTTATAAATAAATGATATTTCCAAGGCATTTTTGTGCTTAAACATACATTATGCAATAGCTAAATCTGCCTATTTCAGGTCTTTCTTTAGACCTGAAATGTTATCTAAATTATTAATTAGACATTAATTAACCTATCCAGACCATAATCAACTCTAGATGTCATCGCTAGCCTTCGATATTTACTGGATTTAAATCCGATCTGCTGCTCAACGCTCATTCATGATTAAATCCAAAAATGGATAATCGAGACTATGTTTTTTATCGTACTGACTTTAGTAATGATGATCGAGGCTAGGCCAAAAATTCAATCGCTAAATTCTTGGTTCAGAGTGGGTCAATATGACTGAAATTTTCAGCAAATTTTCTTTACATTATCTAGTTTTTAACTATTATAGTGAAAACTGCCAGCTCTTTATCTAATCTCCCATAATGTATCTTTAAGGAACTTGATTCATGGGAAAATAAATCCGGACAGGCTGGAGAAATACCTAGTGAAATACCAAGTGATAAAAAAATGACGCAAGCCAACAGTGAGGCTGATGTCCTCTGCCACAATCCCATAATACACAGATGACACATTAATTAATTGCACATTTATTTTTTTCAAAAGTATTAAAGGCTCAATACCACTCTTGTTGTAACTGAATAATATGTTCCAATCTTTATTCTGGTCAACAAATTATACTATTTTACAATATTCCAATTAATTGATGATACAAATTTCACCTTAAAACACCTAATTTAAAAAATTGGAAAAATTCAACTAAATGATTTGAAAAGCCTAACGTAAAGCTTTTCAAATTTGACTTGGATTTAAAAATATTTTCAAACCCTCTGGATAATGGATTTAATGGATAATTTACACAACTTAGAATAAGGCTATTATTTATTTTCTGGAGCTGTCAAGCCAACAAGAGTGTTATTGTCCCTTTAAGCAATCAAACTGCTTATCTATGCGTAGTCTAAGCAGAAAATATTCACAATTGAACTCAGTAAAGGTTTTGAAGTACGATCTGGTAGTTTTATCACTCGACCAATGAAACGGCTTACTTCTGCTTAGCGTTAGCAGAAAATGTTAATCAATGAACTCAGTCAAGGCATTCACCTAATGAACATCTACATCAAATTTAAACATTCTACCTCAATTAAAAGCAGAGTTATTATGTTCCAAAGTCTTGACCACTTAGCCCAAGTGGAAAATGTGCATGATCAAACACTGTTAAGGCATTCCCCTAATAAACACCTACACCAAGTTTAAACATTCTAGCTCAATTAGAAGGAGAGTTATTGTGTCCCACAAAATGTGACGGACAGACGAACGAACAGACCCATTTAATAGTCTCCCCTGCTTTCTTCGAAAGGCATGGGGACAAAAATAAAAAAAACATATAGACATACCGATCTGTTCATAATAATACATTGGAGGTTTACGCACTCCAGCTGCCAATACCTGTCGAGCCAAGTCTTCAAACACAACAGGTCGGGCTTCTAGATTCATCATCAGCATAGACTGAAGTTGTCTTTTAGCTCGTTTTAATTCTTTCTAATTAGAAAATTAAAAAAAGAAATAATATATTTCACTTTAAAGACATTATTTTTTTTCAGACATAGCAACAATTATTTTGAGTATTCCTGTCTTAGTTCAATAATCTACACAATACTTCAATCATATTAAGACTATCCCATAGTGTGTAATACAGTTGATGAAATGAAATGAAATGGGGTTTAACGTCCTATTGCTCCAAACTGGGCTAATGAAGACAGGCATACACCATACAGTGTGCTATGAGGGAAATTTTGCCCGGGCGGTGGCGCTACGGCCTACTCTTATATCAAATTCCAACTGCCAAGGGATCTTTTACATGCACGCCAATGTGTACACAGGACCTTGGGTTTTCGTACCATCCCAACGAATAGACAGCTGTCCTTGACAGGCCCTCAATCTTGCATCACCGATAAGGGGAAACCACGACGGAAAATCAGGATGAACTTTCTCGGCCAATGCAGGGATCGAACACCCGCCCTTCAGGCTAGCAAGCCAGTGTCTTGCCCCCTTAACTACCATGGCCCCTGCAGTTGATGAGAATTTTGCAATGGTTTATAACATTGATGCTATTTCACCCATATATTCCGGACACGTCCTTACGCTATTTCCTAAACGTCCTACCAGGAATATGCTCAATCGGACATCAAGATATGGTGAATAATATTTAAAATTCCCAAATTAATTGACTGTACTGTTATAAACTGTCCTTTGTTCTTGTAGACAAATGTTCTAATCAATAGACCTACCTCATAGATATTACCAGATGTGTTCACTAATTCTTTTATAACAACTTCTACTAGCTCCCTTAGCTGAAAAAAAAACCAAAACAATTCTTAATTAGTAAATACTCATTACAAATCAACAGACAAAATAGTAACAAACAAACCAAAGATGCCAGATTTTGTACAATTATACCGGTACATCAAACAGACAAAATAGTAACAAACAATCAAAAGATGCAAGATTTTGTACAATTATACATTAAAATATCAAAAGCAAAATGCTGTCAACATTTAAGATATGACATAAAAAATGGATGGGTTAATAAAGAAGATGTTTCTGTGGTGTGTGATGACTCTGTGATGGTGCCCCACGCAATTAAAAGGTTAAAAGAGAGAGAGAGAGAGAGAGAGAAATGGGGTTTAACGTCAACTCGACAAAAACTAGGTCATTTCGGGACTAACATATGGTTTAATTTTATTTCAATAATTCGCTTGCGCGTAGGGGTCTTTAGCAGTGGGAGGAAACCAGAGGACCCGGAGAAAACCCACGAGGTTGGACAGGCGAACCTAACCCTTGTCACGTACTACCAGGGTTTCGAAACCACGCCAGTTGACTCAATGACCGGCCTTATGATACAGCACGCACGTGCTAACCATTCGGCCATCAAACCCCCCTGAAAAGGTTAAACATCGCTATCCAGGATGGCTGAACCAGTGTAATATTCAACAATTTTAACAGTGAATGGCGGACAGCTACTACTGTTAAAAGCTTTCTAGATGACTCCATTCAAATCTACAATAAATTAAATATTGTCTTCATGACGGAACCAATAGTAACTATTGTCCATTAGAAAGGATATAATCATGAGTAAACAGTTAATTTTGACAAACAAAATAAACAAATCAGACCAATTTACTAGCAATTTTGTCATTTTTAAGCTTTGGGATGCCATTTCAAAAGATCTGGTACATGTAGTTATAGCCAAGGTTTTCAAGCTGGTTTTTCGAGTCCTGAAGGTTCATAATATCCATTTTTACCCTGGGAGACTGGTATGCAGGCCTAATGCCCTTCAGGGTACCGGTGTCCAAAGGGTTAAGAAAGTAATTAAGAAAGGTACAACTTCATGGATCATCTCCTTTAAAAACCTACCTGAGAAGGATGAGCACTAGCGTATATACAGAATAAACCACTATCATTATAGGCATGATTAAATGCTGTAGCATTATAAATCCAATGATATCTGAAATAAAATCAACAACAGATACATCAAATGTTTTTTGGGAATCTCATTTGTCCAACTACTTTCAGTAAAACAAAATGGGTTTAACTGGGCTAATGATGATGACATAAGCCATGCAGTGTGCTTGCTACAAGGGACAAACAGTAAAAGATGGGCTTAAAGTCTTTGTCCCATGCATTTCCTTGCCAGGCTCTCCTAACGGTACAACTGGCAAGGAGGTCCAAGATTGACAAATTCTCAAGAAAAATTAAGACCTCAACCTCCTGGTTAGTGAGTCAGCTGAAGAGCTAGTGGGTCCTTAAAAAGTCTTGCCCTAGCTGAAGGAAGTGTTGTGTATGGATCCCTAAGAGTCTTACCCTAGCTAAAGTAAGAGATGTGCTTCTGATCACAAAAGGTTTTACTGTAGTTAAGTGCTGTGCACTGGTTTAGGAAGTCTTATCTAACTATATACAGCCCTTGCTGTTATTGGGGTCCTAAAAGGTCTTCTTCATAACACAATGACCAATTTGAAAAAAAAAACTCCATAAAGAACTCTGAAGAAATAGTGGAGTCATTTCGGGACTAACATAGGTTCAATTTTATTTCAATAATTCGCTTGCGAGTAGGGGTCTTTACTAGTGGGAGGAAACCGGATGACCCAGAAAAAACCCACAACCCTATTCCTTGTCACGTACAACAGGGGAGTCAAAACCACACCAGTTGACTCAATGACAGACCTTATGATACAGCGCACACACACACTAAACATTCGGCCATCCAACCCCGCTGGATGGATGCTGGAAGGAGGTAACAACAGTCCACATTAAATGTTTTTGTACTTGACGCCTTACCTGTTTAAGACATTGAGATATAATCGTGTGTACATCCCTTTACCTGGTCCACCAGCAGAGAATGAACCCCCTCCTCCCATCAACATATTTAACACACAGAAGGCTATAAAATCAGGATCTTTATGTGAACAGCCTTCTAACCCAATTACCACATGTCCTAATTCTGGCATCGGTGTTGGTCCTAAACTTACATTAGATAAATCTTTCTCAACCTGTAAACATGATCAACATACTGTCAATTTACACATTTCAACGACTTATCATCGGAACCTGTGAAGATAAACACAAAGGGAAACCGGGCAAGAAAATCCAATGGAACTTTCTCAATTAAAACATTGAGATTCAACCTATGACCTCCTGATTCGTGAGCCGTTATATGCCACATACTCATGGAGTTACTGTGTGAATATAAATACTGGCAAGAAAACCCCAGAAGAACTTTCTCAATTAAAACATTGGGATTCAACTTATGACCTCGAGAGCTCCTGCTTCGTGAGCCTCTATGCCCCATACTAATAAAGTCAATGTAGCTCAGTAGACCCAAAAGTTTGTTTGTCACATAACATTGGAAATTTGTTATTGTTGTTCTAGCTTTATTGGAGGCTTCTTTGGGTCTGGGTTAAATGCCAAAGTGAATATAATTTAACTTGTTAGACAAGTCTATCAACAACAAGAATCAAAAACTACTGACTTGTGAGACATTGCCATATTAACAATCACCCTGGCTCTAATGACCAAGATGTCCAGTAGACCTCTCTCTCATATGACCATGAGGTTGATGATACGGTCAACCACCAAGGATCTAATGATAACAACCACTGTGGATGATCTTGTCAACTGCTATGGCTCTAATGATATCGAAGTGGAATGATAACTAGTTGAAAACACTGTAACCAATATGGCTCTAATGATAACAATCACTGTGAATCCAATGATAATGTGATGAAATATCACTGTAACCCAGGTAACATTTAAACAGCCAGCTTTACACTTGATACACGTACAATTTACATGATTTTTAGTTATTTTAGGCGATTTTTTCGAAATTTCAAAGAAAGATTTGATATTGAATGAATGTGATAGAAAAATGGCTAAATACGCAAGATTAAACAACACCCATGTTACAGTGTGTATTGTCAATCATAATAACAAGATGGAAGGTACTGTCAACAATCTGGTTAAAACACAGATCCTATTTCATTTCGTTTTTTATAGTTCAATATTTCGTTTTACTTGTCTTTACTACACTATGATCTGGAAGAGTTGTTATATAACCCACGTTTTTGTTGAGGTGAGCGACAGTCTGTTACAGCGAGCTTTTGGCGTGAGGTGCACAGAACTGTGGGTAATCCACTAGAAACATCAATGCTGATTGGTTAATCAAATGCCTGACGCCATGGGGTCAAAAGTCGCTCTTATGACCTCTGACCGGACCTCCCAAAACATCTGATCAGATCTTCGTGTAGTGTAGGCTATCGAAAGTATAAAAAAAAAAAATGAAACGAAATATAGATCTGTATTTTATTCAGATGGCTTGTTTAAAAAACTTACTTTAACAACACCTCCAGTGTATTGTGACATAGATTCATCCATTCGTTTCTTCTTGTCAATCAAATCATCATTCTCCAACCAGATTGGTTGTTTTTCTTTCACCATGTATAATTGAGCTAAATCAACAAGATGTGCATGATCAACACCTACACCCGCTATCACCGTACGACTGGGTATATGAACGTTTTTAAGATAAGTATATAAAATATTACGGTCTATTTTTTCTATATTGTCATGTGCACAGAACTTGGGTAATCCTAGAGTATTGTTCCGAAATGCAGCCTAAAAAGAAAAGAAAATACAAAATTAATGTCCATGGAATAATTGGGTTTAACAACCACTCAATACCATGTCATTTTGGGACTAAAATATGGTAACTTTTTATTTCAAATTTTGCTTCGGCATAGAACTGAAGTAGGTGGCTGCTATTATACCCAAAAATTTTTTAAATGATTACACGGCTGAAAGCTACGGATTAAACCCATGACTTGCAAAGATAACGGGTTCTATGATCTACAGTCTTGACACATCCAAACAATTCAACACCTTTTCCTTGCCTGGTCTCCTGTTCTGGACATGGGGAATCCAGACATGTGGAATCCCGAGCAACTTTCATACAATCACCTGGTTCAACCGAGGATTTCCTGGGGTCTGTTTCACGAAATTTTATCTAAAATAAAATCCAAATTTTAGTAATTTGATTGGTTAAGTACTAAAATCAATCTAATATTATCCAATCAAATTACTAAAATCTGGATTTCATCTTAGTTAAAATTTCGTGAAACAGGCCCCTGGTTAGTGAGCCAGGGTCATACTTGCTGAACCACCATAGTTCCTTTTGTATCCAGAACACAATGATCAAGTGTGTACATGAACTTACAGCATGAATCATTTCCATAAGTATAGGTTCTGGATCAGGTCTCATCTGTAAAGATTCCAGTTCAAATGCTATAGCTGTCCTTGTATCTTCAAGCTGGTTAACAAATAAAAAACAGTGAGTTAAAATAATTGTCAGAACATTCACAGAAAACCCCCACAAATACAACCTTTAACAAACTAGTCTTTCGGTTCATTTCTAACTTCTATTATGCTCCAAAATTTCAATTCTGAGATTGCAAGATAACCACAGGTGAGAGAGAGAGAGATGGGTTTTAACCTCCACTCAACACAAACTAGGTCATTTCGGGACTAACATACGGTTCAATTTTATTTCAATAAATCGCTTGCGCGTTGGGGTCTTTCTTTGGCAGTGAGAGGAAACAGGAGGACTAGGAGAAAACCCACGAGGTTGGGCAGATGATCTTACTCCTTGTCATGTACAACCGGGAAAATGGAAACCATGCCAGTTGACACAATGACAGACCTATGATACAGCGTGCCTGTGCTAACCATTCGGTCATCCAAACCCCAGTTAGCAGACTCAAATACATATAGTCTGAACAAGTGCTATAACGAAACTTCGGGTCCAAGCATCGAAAGGATGTGTCTCTTGTGTAATGGTTCTATTTTTTTCAGAATTTTACCAATACCTACCTCTTGGTCAGTAATTTTAGGACGTAAAATTGCCTCTCCCAATATATTTATGACGGCTGGTAGACCAGATCTTTCAGCTGATACAGCATAAATTAACGTATCTCTGTAAGCAATCAAGTATATTAAGTAAGATTGGGACCAATAATATTAAACGACAGACTTAAGGATTCTCATTTAAGGAATGGAGGAATACCTTAAGAGTAATGAAATGGGTTTAACATCCTACTGTTCTGCACAAATTGGGCTATAGAAGACGGGCATATACGCCATACAGTGTGCTACGGCCAAGGGTTCTTTTACGTGCACACCAATGTGTACACAGGATCATGATTTTTTTTTATCCCATCCAAACAACCATACGTTGCACCTTGCCAGGCCCACGGTCTTGCTCCACTGACGAAGAGGAACCACGCCGGATATTCCACATGAACTTTCTTGGACAACAAGGAGATCGAACATGTGACCTCTGGGTTAGCAAGCAAAAATGTTACTCACTGAAATACTGTGCCTCCTTATTTATTTGTGTAAGCACTATAAAGCATGGGAAACAATTATTTTGAACAGCATATCTAAAGGTTTAGACTATATCATAATAATAAGCAATTAATAAAACAAAACAATCTAATCGTCTTGCAGGATTTACATTATTCATTTGAGGTCATATAAAAATTGTTTTCCACAAGTGTATATGGATATATATACAATACAAAAAAATATTCATCTGAACCTTGATGACTGACAATCACATATTCCACCATGCTTCTCCAAATTTTGAAAAATCTGATCTCGGCTTTCAAACTGACTTGTTTCCTAAAATTATATATAAAAAAAGAAAAACGAACATTTTTTTTCATTATCTACAGTAATTATAATAAATTAACCTGAATATCTTAAATATATCTTCAAATTTAATTAATCAAGATGACTTTTGCTAAATTTTTAGTTTTTCTATGTGACCAATTCTTAGAACAGTTTAAATTTGTATCTTTTCTATGTATTTAATTTGTTTTTTATTGAACAGTCTTTCAAAGTTTTATATATACCAACCCTCTCCCCGAAATACTATTTAACCAATTCAATGAAATTTACTCACCCCAAATGCTAACTTTTCCAAAAAGTGAGAAATTCCACTAGGATAAGCTACTTCATACCGTGATCCAGAATCAATAGCAACTGCAAATAACATAACAATGTATTCGTCTTTTATTCTTATAGAATAATTCGATTCACCAAAGTTAATTTACATTTCTAACTAAATATACATGTACCCTTTCAAAAGGCTTACTGGGTTAAATTCCAGGGTGGACAGTGAAATTTACTCAGGATTTTCCAGTCTTCTGTCTAGTTGTTCGGATGGTACGAAAAACCGAGGTCCTGTGTACACATTGGTTTGCATGTATAAGATCCCTTGGCGGTTGGAATTCAATATAAAAATTGGCCGTAGTGCCGCTGCCCAGGCAAAATTTCCCTCATAGCACAATGTATGGCATATGCCCTTCTTCATTAGCCCAGTTAGGGAGCAGAACAGTAGGATTTTAAACCCTATTTCATTTCATTTAATTTTTAAGCTTATGTTTCTCACACTGTAGTGTCTGTGTATGATTTTAAATGTACATGCATATACAATAAATCAGCCATTTTCTGATTTTGTGGTCCAGTTTTAAACTCAAATATGACTGGCCATTTTTCTTAACAAGCTTTTTCTTGACATTGCCTGTGAAAATTGATGAACTTTTCTGTCTGCTTTAAGATTTTTTTTCCTGTTAACCCAAATCCTATCCCTGCCTTATTGAAAGAGAGAGAGAAATGGGGTTTAACGTCCACTCAACACAAACTAGTCATTTCGGGACTAACACATGGTTCAATTTTATTTCAATAATTCGATTGCGCGTAGGGGTCTTTAGCAGTGGGAGGAAACCAGAGGACCCGGAGAAAACCGACGAGGTTGGACAGGCGACCCTACTTCTTGTCAGGTACAACCAGTGAATCGAAACCCTGCCAGTTGACTCAATGACAGCGTGGACGTGCTAACCATTCGGCCATCCACCCCCCACCCCCACTTTATTGACTGTGGTCTTAGAAATGACAGGGACGTATACTAACCTCCAACAGTACAGAATTCACCAAATACATTTTCTGATGTCACAGTAAGTCCATTATCTAACACAGTGACATGTGTGTCATGCGTTGTATTTCCAGAAACTGAATACTGGGGCAATTTCAAATTAGGTAATGGTTTCGATAGAGGAATATCTGTAATTTTTTCTATTGATTTACCACCATCGCTGCTAAATGCCCTTGCTAAGCGTCTTCTGTAAAAAAATTAAATATCATCAAAATATAAGTTTAAAGATACATTATAATGGGAGATTAGATTAAGAGCTGGCAGTTCTCGTTATAATACTAATAGTTAAAGACTAGATAATGTAAGGGGTATTTGCTGAAAATTTCAGTCAAATTGATCTACTCTGAACCAAGAATTTTACTTTAGCGATTGAATTTTCGGCCTAGCCTCGATCATCATTACTAAAGTTGGTACGATAAATCATGTATGAAAGTTGAGCAGCAAATCGGAACCTAATCCAGTAAATATCACAGGCTAGCGATGACATCGAGTTGTTTATGGTCTTTAAATAATGTCTATTTAATAATTTAGATAACATTTCAGACCTAACTAAAGAAAGATCTGAAATAGGCAGATTTAGCTCTTGCATGTAATGCATGTTTAATACAACAGAAAAAAATACCATGGCAGTCACCAAGTTTTGGTCCCAGTGTGAGTGTCAATGAAATTGGATGTCTGTGTACCGGTAATACTATTAGTAATAGTAAAACAAAATAAGAATTTCCTTGAAAAAAATTGACAGCTTTGTAGCAATATTAACCACAATTTCCATTGATCGACCAAGATATGGCGGAGAGAAAGTAAGTACGGTTCAGAAGAAGAATGATAACATTTTGTCTGTAAACAATCATTTGACTTTGAACAGAAAAATTTAATGACATTTTGTGGAATTTCTATTTTTCATGACATTGAATGATGTTGCCAAATTAAAGTGGTGACATATTTTATACTGAAGGCGATATTAATCGGTCGACAAATATTTCTCCTTTTAGTATCAATAACAAAATTTTATTTTTAGTCTAACCTAGTTAATTACCTTGCATATTTACAGCACGTGCGGTTGATAGCATGACTTGCCATGCGAGTCGCCATCTTGCTTGTCGTGGATAGGTCTTCGATTACGACAATGATACAACCATTATGGAAAACCGTTTTGGCCTAAATTTTATATTCATAGTAAATGTGAAATGCCTCCAATCAAAAGATTAACACACAAGAGTTCAATAATTATTGTGAAATAAACAACTTAATACACTAAAATAATCTTTTGAGTAAGGCTGTATATTATGTAGGCTTAGGCTATGGAAAACACAAAAACGATGCTTATGCAAAGGAAGAAGACAGTATCTACACTTAGGGCAAAATACGTTTTATGGTATCATTGTGATCAGCAGTATCTGCTCTGTCGCATGTAAAAGATTTCATTCATGCATATCAATAAGGTAAAGAGATATACAGTGTCGATTTGGGCAGTACATGTAAATTGCCCCGGTATTTATAACTAAGGGAGTAAGTGTAGATAGGCTACTGCCATTCTCCTTGATACATCTATGACAACTCAGGACGAGATTTTGGCAGTAAATGTAGAATGCACTGGTATAAATACGGAGAAAGCAGTAAGTGTAGATACGGTGACGTTCTCCTAGATAAGAAACCTCATCTCACAACCCTCCATGTTTCGAGGTAAGAGATGGTGCTATATGGTTTCAAGTGTCAAACTCCCAACGCTAATCACAACGGAATTCAAATAAGCAAAATTGACAATTTTTTCTTCAAAAGAACGATTGATTATTATTATTTATAACATTTCTGTCACCAACAATTAAGCAGAAAATCCTACCTGACACGGCCACAAATCCCCTCTTTTTAAATCGAAGCGATAATAGATTGCTCTTTTTGATTGCTTTCTCCGACATTTTAAATTTACATCTTTAACACATAAAGGCGGGGCCTTGTGTACAATAGCCAGTCAAAGTACTAACCTGATCCGAGTTGCGCAGGAGTAATACATCGTATTTATGAATGTCCGTATCAATTTTCACAAAAAAAATGCTTGTCAATATTTGCTGATAAATAAAAGTTGTTTCAGTTGATTGGACTGCGTATGTTTAGTAAGTTCTAATAGTATTAAATTAACTTATTTTTAAGATGTTACAGATAAAAAAATTAAACGTAAGTTGCCCTGGTATAGGCCTAACTAAGGAGAAAACAGTAATTATTTCAAGGGTTTAGACTCAATTGAATGTGGAAATGTCTAGAACAATATTTATGCATAAAATATGCAGTTTGTAAATTGTCCGTTCATCACAGAAACAATTATAGAGAGCATATGTAGATATTGCATTTTACCTTGATTTTCAATGGGCACCGGAAGTGGTCCAGAGTCATAAAATGGGCAGTATCAGCATTATCTAAGTCCCACAGAGAAATATATGAAAATCGAGAAGTTATACCGAAAGAGAACCAAAATATTTCCTTACGTTCCAAAAAATTCATTAATTATTTTATTGAATACTATGAGTGTAGGAAAGTGACAAGTCGATTTACTCAAAAAGACTAATTTGCAGATACTGTCGTTCTCTTAGTCCAACGAGGGGGGGGGGTGTAAGCACGAGCGCGCTGTATCATAAGGTCTGCCATTGGGTCAAATGGCGAGGTTTCGATTCCCCGGTTATACGTGACAAAGAGTAGGGTCGCCTGTCCAACCTCGTGCATTTTCAATTATTGAAATAAAATTGAACCATGTGTTAGCTACTAGACGTCAGAAACATTGATCATAAAAAATAATCTCTAACATGAGTGTTCCAAATCCAAGATGGCGTAAATTCAAAATGGCGACCAAATTTGCTATGATAGACATTTTGTCAGATAATAGTCATTTCACTTTTTGATATGACATGTAATGTCCAATTGAAAGAGTTCCCAGTGTTGCTGAACTTGGAATTAACCAAAACAGAGAGTTTGGAAAATCCAAGATGGCGAAAATTCAAAATGACGGCCAGAATTTTCTTAAAATAAATGATTTTTTAGATAATCGTTAATTTTCTGTTTCATATAGCTTGTAATATCTCTTTTATAAGGTTTTCAGAGTCACATTGAGAAAATAGACAAACAGCAGGCTCTTATATGTAGTGGATACTTTCATTCCCTAGACTTTGAGTAAGGATCCGGGGCATTTCTTACCAAAACAAATTGATAAAGAAACCAATGCAGTTTAGTTTAATTATACATATGTCATACAACATCAAATTCAAATTCGGCTGAATTCGGCCAAGGCGAAATAACGTAATTAACATTAGTCAATATGACGGTCTTCAGAAAGTTTCGGAGAGCGATATCTCGTAACCAGTGTGTTTTAGTGGTGGAAGAATAACTTTCTTTTTTTTTAAATTCTTCAAACAAAAAGTAGCTAAAGAGGCGAAATGTACCGAAAAAACGAATTTGGCCCAAAAAAAACCCCAACAAAAACCCTACAGAAAATGTATTTTTCACATGGACGGCTAATGGCTGCCAAATTTGATAACAGAAGACCTTTTCTCCAACCAGACTCGAAATTTCTTTTGAAAAAAATGACTGTAAATCGTGCTTTCTAGAGTATATCCTGATGTTTTTAGCTTATGCATATATCTTAACAATTCATCAAAAACGACGCGAATTCATGACTACACAAGAGCATTAACTAGTTTAGGGACCCCCGAAACTACCAGACTCCTTTTCAGTCCATCCCTGAAAAGGGAGGGGTAAGATAGGATGTTAAAACGTGTTTCAAATTCCCTAATTACTTGATTACTTTAATTACATGTATCAGTAAAAATGATAATTCGTATATTATTTTACAGTTATATAAAAATAAAAAAAATCCATTTTATTCAATGAACAATTTATTGTTAGGTCGTGTAGAAAGATGTGGTGTTAAAATGTGTTGCAAATTTTCCGCATTCCATGGTAGACTTATCATATGAATCAATTGGTATAATATTTTACAGGTATAAACATGTTTCCGTTTTATCGAATGAACAATTTATTGTTAATTCGCGTAGAAAGATATGGTGTTAAACGTGTTACAAATTAACAACTGGTATATTAGTCGAGTACTTTACAGCTACAAGAAAGTTTACTTTTAATCGAAAATTCCAATAAACTATTTATTTTTGAATTGAAGGGAGAGTCCTACACTGTTAGAAAAAATCTGGTAAATTTACATGAAAATTACCCCCCCCCCCTTTTGTTTTTAGTTAAACAACAATTTCACCGTAAGAGAAATAAAATCTCAGTTGAATAAGAGGCTTGTTATTGTACTGTAAACATAAGACTAATACATCCTGTAAGGCAATAGGTAACACAAGTCGAAACCGCCGCTCAATGATTGTGGCGGTTCCAGGCTTTCAGATGTAAGCTTGCGGTACTGTCTACTGCAGACATTGGAACTCTGCTCTAGAGACAGTCAAGCTAACACTGGCCAATCGGTTTAATTAACCGTCTTCAAGTAAGCTTGAATACGAGATAATACAACCTATGGCTAGAAAGTCAAAACATTTTTTTTATACGTTTATGAACATACTTACAATCTGATTAACGTACGATGAATAATTATACACGTTGTAGATCGTATAAATAATGGAAATTAGATATATATATAACATGCAATATACCACATTTCACAAAATGTGATTGTCCATATTATGGTTAGTAAATTAGAATGAATACTATAAGAAAATAATTATTAGGAATGGTTCGTTGCTATGGAATACTAAAATAAAATAAGAGACAGTAAATTTACCAATAAGTAAATCTACAAAATAATGTGAATAGACGTAAATCTGTAAAATTACCTACTGGCTTTGCTATTTTCATTTCAATATTGAAATATTACGCATGTATTTTTACCGGGGTTTAATGTGCCTTTGGTTTCATCAAAGTTTATTGTAAAAAAGAATGAAACTTGGTAAATATACACCATTTTGGTAAACATTCCGAACATTTTATGGTAAAAACAAATAATTTAATTGCTGTAAATTTACTTATATTTCTAACCCGAAAGTTTACAAAATAATGTGAGTAAACGTAAAATCTCTAAAATTGCATGCTAAGAGACAATAAATTTACCGAATACGATAATTACCAATAAATTAAACATACATTATGCAAGAGCTAAATCTGCCTATTGCAGGTCTTTTTTTATAGGCCTGATATGTTCTATAAACTATGAATTGGACATTTATTAACATCTTATGTGTTGGATTTTCACTGGATTTGAGTCCGATCTGGGGCTCAACGCTCATTAATGATTAAATTCAAAAATGGATAATCAAGACTATGTTTTTTTTTTATCGTACTGACTTTAGTAATGATGATTGAGGCTAGGCGTAACATTCAGTCTCTAATATCTCGGTACAGAGTGGAGCAATTTGACAGAAATTTTCAGCATATTCCCTTTACATTATCTAGTTTTTAAGTATTATAGTGAGAACTGCTGTAATTTTATTTATATTTCTAACCTAAAAGTAAATTTACAAAATAATGTGAATAAACGTAAGATCTGTAAAATTACATGCTTGCTTGTTTATTTTCAGTTCAGTTTGGAAATATTACATATGTAAGAATGTATTTTTACTGATTTTGAATGTGTCTTTGATTTCATCACCGTCTATTGTTAAAAAAAAACCCACGAAACTCTGTAAACATACACGAAGCTCCGTTAAAAGACGCCAGATTTGGTAAAACTACTATATTGTGGAGAATATACCGATAATTAAGGTACAAAAACTACTTGTACTACTGTAATTTTACAAAAATTTCTAACAGTGTGAAGGTGGTAGATCATATTAAATGTTGTTTAAATGTCTATTTTCATAAACTTTGTATTCAGATGGATTATTATACTGAAGGTCTGTCTGGATAGAAAATAACAGTTTGTGTTAAACAGCTGTGTCCTGGAAACAAATGGGTTCACTAACATCAAATATCTGGTTCTACAAATTGTATTTGTCCCTTCTGAGCTAATTCCTATGGGAACAAACCTTTCCGTTTCATCGAAAATTTCAATAAATAATTTATTTCTAGTTCGAGGGAAAGTGCTACTGGTGGTAGGCCATATTTAAATGTTGTTTAAATGTGTATTTTCTTAAAT